TTGGTGAAAGCATAGCAGAAAATAAATTTGATTGTTAATTACGTCAGAATCTTACTCAATCACATGGATTCGCCAATTAAATGGATATACTCGATTACTTTTTCAGCTATGCGTTAGACTCGAAGACGACTTGATGATGATGAATCATCCTCTTGGCAGGTCAATGATTCGCCTCGATCTTTAGTGTGTATCATCGATAATGGTCAATTTTTTTTAAATGTTTGTCATCGTTCGTCATCCGATGATTGTATCATATTTTTAGAAACGATAAGTATATGCGTTTATCGTCTGATGCGCAATACCGTATTGTGGAGAAAGAAATGTTAGTCTTTTAATAACATGCAGATTACTCATAAAATATGGCATGACCAATAACGGGAAGAAATGTGAAATATGTATATTAAAATCACGTAGTCGCGAATCATCGAAGTGGTTGCAGTTAAGTTGCAAAAGATAAGGAAGTAATATCGTAATCTCGCGTGCGCGTTTAACGATTCTACGAACACCGTATCTTAAATCAGCCCTTAAATGTTGCGTTGCGTTGTCGATTTACGCATCCATCCGCGAGATCCTTTCCGTTCGCACACGATCGCTGCGTAAGCATCGATGTAATTTACTCGCCTACGAAAATAGCCCCGCGGCGCTTTACGGTCGCCGAAAATGAGGGGGAGTTTGCGGCGCGAGAGAAAACCCCGATGCCTTTAATTCATACCTCGTTGCGTTACGTGTCGCCCGTAAATCCGCACTCTCGCGTGAACTCCCTTACTGCCGAATCACTCGCGGATGCATCGCCGGCCGGATTTTATGCGCCGTGGTAACGAGCTTCCGCGGTGAGCTTTACGGCGGATTTATGAATGCTCTTCGCCGTTGGTCAGGTGGTAAAGTTGTTTTTTAATGCTCGTAGCGCGAGACGAGGGTTCTGTTTCGGCGAAACACACTCGAGAAAAAGATAGATAAAGAGATAGAGAAAGAGAGAGAAGGAGAATGCATGCGTGAAATCGAGACAAAAACGGATGCAGCACAACGGTCTGGATTGTAAGGGGCGGATGAACTGAAGAAGAGAGCCGAAAGAGTTTCGTATAAACAACACTTCCGCGAAGTCTATCAGCTGTTTATCGAGGGATGGAATACTTGCTAAAACGAATCGCGTTTTGCCCGGCAGGCGCCATGATCTTATATATAGATCTCTTCAAAGAATGCATCATACGTTAGGATGAGATATTTCTAAGAATGAAACGTGTCATTTGAACAAGGACATGCCAACATTTGATATGACGTAATTATTAGATATGAGATGTTTCGTATGAAGTATTAATGATTAATTTTTTAAAATCTTATTTAAATACTTTTGTAAATTTGATGTGTATTGAAATAATTTCAAATTAAAATAATTATTTCTTAATGAATTTACTTTTGGTCTCTAAAAGTGAAAAGTATTTCTTAATACCCGAAAAATATATTTTAGCAATATATGTAATATATTTCGAAGTAAATGGAGGATATGCTGGTTATTTGATAATGCGTACTCTGCATTTTATTATTTACGTAGTAGATAAATCCAATATTCGAAGAATGACATATTTGCAATTTGTTCGCGCGAACGCATTAACTTGCAATACTCGTCGTGTTTTCTATACAAGCGGCGCATAGTTATGCGATAATCGTAAAATTCCGATTTTATGGGTTTTCCTAGTTTTGATAAAGAACGCTCGAGCTCCCGGGGCTTTAACGAGGATCCTAAGAAGCAAGCAAGATAAGCTGGTTAATGTGCATTTATTACCATATTAGCGTCTGCATAGAACTGACACTTTTACGTTGCACAAGATGTTTTGTCGAGAGGTAGGTCAATTGCAGATTAACACTGTCGTACGGATAAACATGTCAAGCGATAAAGAAAATGTTATATCGACGGTTAAGATTGATGTATGCGCGTGCCATTTGTAAGAAATGGTAACGTTCTATGAAGATATATTCAAAAAATTTTTCCAGTAAGGACCAGCATTGTTATTCTATGATATCGATGCAAAACAATGAATTTCGCGACATGATACATTTCTCTCTTTTTACATACACAATTACTAAAAAAGGACATAATTTATTCTGTTCTGAAATATTATCGTGCTCTATTTCGCGTTTAAAGATATAATATTATACGTAATGCCTTGGATCGTTTATCTTTCGAAGATTCAACGTAATAGAATTAAATGCTATTCAGTTTTGCACAGGTTGCGAGTTGTGATTCGCTTTTGAAGATTCGCAATAAATTGGAACGCGGGAAAATTATGGCTTCTTCAGGTCGCCATTATGTGAAATACTGCGTTAAATTACGCGCGCTTAATTTAATTTTATCGTCCGAAGCATTAATTGCAGATTTCTTCGTCGTATTTAGGGCACCGGATTAATCATAAACTGAATATGCATTCACTTAACAAGATTATGACTATGTCTCGCTTCCGCGATTATGCGACGGAATTTGTAATCGTTTAATCCAAATTAAAAAGCACGGTTGACCACTCAGTGACGGGAGGTTTCCTTTGATCATCTGGTATCGATGCACGTGAATTTACGGCGGAAAACTATAATGGGTAACTGCAACACGTGGCGGAATTGTTCAATTATCCCGGCGCGGCAATTCCGCTCCGACCGGCATGCAGAGGTAAATTGTCGATGGAACGTGGCGGGTTTACCTTTGTAAATTGGCGCAAAAAGGGCAAAGCACGATTGCGACGACAGCCGCCGTGGACGTGCCCGTCGTTTTGTTCGTCGAGATCGCTGTTGCCGCGAGCTACTACGAAATTAAGATGCGCGCATCGCGTTTGGCGCCAAAATACGCAAAACTAAGAGCGATGATCTCATTGTCGAATAGGTTTTCTAAAGAAACGATTTAAGCTTCTCTCGATCCGTTTATGAGGATTAATTTAATGTATTGTTTTTTTAGAATATGTGCGTAACAAGGGGAACGGATCCATTAAATTTCTTATATAATTTTCGCTTTAATTATTTAAAAATATTTTCTCTTGGCACACTCCAAGTTCTAAATATATTTCCACACACTGTCGCATCGAGTTTCCCTTGATGATAAAACATATTCAATCTGGCAGACGATTGGCGTCTAGCGGACGGCGAGGTCAGTTCTACGAACGTCAGTTAGAGAAGTTTTGACGCAGATAAAACGATTTGCCGGCGGTCTGCATTGCCAAGGTCAATCTAATCTTGGCCTTGTGTAGGTAAGGGGAACCACCCCGACGTCTCTCGGGACGCATGCAGATACACCCGTCGTTAATAACGTCAAGCATCCGCGATAGAGTATATCCGAAACGGTTTTTGAAAACAAAGTACTTGAAAAATCTTGAGAAACTTGGCAACGTACGTCGATAAGAATAGCTAACATTGTAATCAGGGATTCTAATGTATGGAAAATTTCATTAATCTATTCTTTAAACGTGAAATTACAGGATAAAAGTCACTTACTGATTAATCGGTAAAAATATAAGTTTAGATATTATTTATATATTTATTAATTATTACAAATCATAATTTAGTTATAAATATTTCTGCTAATAATTTCCACTTTATAATATAAAAAAAAAAAAAAAACGAATTATTTTAATGTGAATAGATATTTGACGAATCAAATAAAATAAAATACAAAGTAAAATAATTTTTATCGAGTATGACAGTTATAGATGGATAGGTATTTTATATTATTTCCTTGCACTATAAGATCTGTCGAAATAATGTTTCAAGATGAACCAGCGCTACCATCAATGTGCCGATGCATTTCGTGAAAGTTAATCTCGAATTCGGCAGCCCGGAACGAGCAATTCGGAATGTTATGGCCCCTATATTACGTGAATGACTTGTAAATGTAATGTGCATAACAGTGATCGATTTTCAATCTTCGGCCCATGCTCGCGGATGTAAAATTGCGAAATCTGCCATTGACGAAATTAGTTCTACGGTAAAGACACACGTGTGTGTTTGTATATATTTCGACCAATAAAAACAATCTGTCAAATAAATTTTATTGCCAGCATTCGTTGTCATAATAAATCACGGCTTACTATATCGTTTATTTAGTACGACAACTTTCGGAGATCTAGTTTGCCGAAATAAATGTCTGTTGGCAAAAGCTACGTATATATCGTGCATCTATAATTCAATTTCACCAGAAAGAACGTAAATCACGACGTAACAAAGATTACGGTAATCGTCATAACGGTAGCGCCGTTATGTTAAATTAATCACGAGTCTCCGATTCGATCTCACGTTCAAGGAGAATTGCGATCGAGACCATACGATTCTGACAATACCAGGGAAGTACGGAAGATGACTATCGAAACTGTGAGAATCGTCGAGAGATCTGCGGAGATTTTTCTCTCGGTACAGTTACGGAGGATTTCTTTCGCGCATCGCGTCACGTGGTATATATCGCGTGCACCTCCTCGGGTATTTATGCAAATGGAGCGGCATTCGCGAGAGGGAAGTATCGATGAACGGATTCACGTTTGCGACTGTACCTGGCCCGAGAGCTCTCGACTTGATCCTAATCTCTGCCGAGGCAAGGTCGATACGAGGAGAGCTCGACAGTAACTGACTTTACGATTTTCAACTCCTGCGATGGCATCGAAAGCACGTACATACATACACATTTTTTTCTCTCTTCGTGATTTCTCGGAAACCGAATTGCATTTGCTTTGCTTGCAGCCCTGCCTGTCGTGATTCAATGATACTCGATCGAATTATACAATTTTCCGTATCTCGTCCAATAACGCAATTTCTCAAACGTAATTCTCGCCGAGCGAGAGTGATCACGGCAGGTATACTCGATTGTTGCAATTTCTTATCATTATCATGATTGAGCACGTCTTTATTACATCGTGATTCGCAAGTTAAAAAGATATTGAAAATTTTTAATAAATTTCGTTGTTGGCCTCGGTCACCAAATGATGCCCCCCCGATTTAAAAAATCAATTTTGTTTATATGAATCACTACTCACATTATTAGTAACATCCGCTTGCATGGCCGAATCGTCCTCGGCGCCAGCTTTGGCGAGGTCGTCTTTCTCGTTATCCGGGGCGTTCAGATACTCGTCGTAATCCTGCTCGAGACTCTTGGTTTTAGTACTGACCGCGATTTTTCTTTCCTGGCGATTTTTGCCCCCATCCGTTACATCGGTCGCGTTCTTCGGGAACTTATGTCCGATCGAACCAACGGATTTGACGGTCGAGTTCTCCGCGATCCGCCTGTTTGTGAATCTGAGGAGATTCACCGGTCTAGAGACATTTCTCGGTTCGTTGAAATTTTTATAGCCGTCACGTTTTGCATGCTTATTCGATTCGATGTTCCGATAATCCCTCTTGACGGTAGCCTTTGGAGTGGTCGGCTCGTCGGACGTGAGTCTCCTGATGATGTCTTCATAGGTCTTCAAGGATGATTTGGTCTTGCTCTCGTAAAAATCATTATCAATTTCCTCTTCTTCGTTATCTTCATTGTCCTCATCATCGATATTTTTCCAAATATCATCCTCTTCTTCATCTTTGTCGTCTTCCTCGAGTCCACCGTGATCCTCGTAATCCTCATCCTCTTCTATCTTCTTATCGTCTTTCGTTAAATGATATTTAGTCTCTGAGATGTTCGATGTTACTTTCCAACCATCCGTCCATCTCGACACATCGGAACGATCGATGACGCCTCCGCGATCTTCCAGGCGATGCCTCCTTGCGCCACGATAACCGTTCATTCTATTCTTGTCTTTCCTGAGGGATGTGTGTCGCCTAGAATTTCTCCACCACTCGTGATGCTTATCGGCCTCGCCGCTTTCGATGTATCTGTGCGGCTTCTCGTAATTATAATCCTCCTCCGAAACATCTTCGAAATCCGACACGTCGCGATTGCGTGAATACGCGGGTCTATGATAAGTTCTGCCGGGCTTGTATCGATAATTCTTCGAATTATATCGCGACGGAATTCTATGCCTGTCGTTGTCCTCGTCGTACCAGTTTCCGCGATGTCCGCCATCGTGGTATCTGGGCGGATAACGCGGCTCGAACGTTCGGCCGTGATAACCCCTCTGCGCGGATCGATGATGCGATCTGGGATGATCGTAGTACGATTGCACTTCATAATCGTCTTCGTCGACCGGATCCTCGGAGTCTCCTTCGTATTCGTAGTCAACTTTCTGCCAGGATCTCCTGTCGAGATCGTGATGATTCCTTCGATTCAAGGATTCGTGCCTGTGCCTGTGTCGATGTCTCGCCTCTGTCGTCGTCATCGCCGCGTCATCGTGCTGATGGAATCGGCATTCGGCCACGAAGAGGCTGTAGGCCATCAGCAGGCCCAGCAGAAGCAGCAGCCTTCTATCGCGTGTCATTTCGGTCTCCGCAGCACCGTTTGCAGATACCTTACATCATCATGTGCCCCGTGACTGCGGCTTTCGCGCGATAACACCTTGATCGATCACCTCTTGATGCCTCGCCGGTCACGATTTCCTTAGTCGCGCATCGAGCCGGCTCGATTGTCGAGTAGCAGCACTCGCGCACGATCGATATCACGTTGATCATTCCACGATCGAGGCAAGACGAGTTCGCACCTGACGGCTTTCGCGAGCGTTTATCGATCACAGTTGATAGCTTAATCCGGGAACCGTCAATTTTCTCTGACGGCAGTCTCTAAATTTAACCGCACGTCACGGCCGGATTGTGGTGACCATGTGATGACCGCGGAACCTGAAACGATGGTGCAACGCGATTTCTTTTGGCGCGGCTCCAGTACGGTAAGAGTCCGCTGCAACGATGTTCGTCACTAATTACTGAACCATTTAAGTCACAAAAGACATCGGGAAAATATTCGTGAAGATGATTCGAGACAATCCTGTCGTACTGCTTTATATGCAAATCGTCAGTAGTATGAAATAAAAATCTACCCTTGATATCTACCCTTGGTTAAAAATTTTCGCGCTTGCTTCTCGCGAATTTAAAATCTAAGTCACCGGTTAAAATGATTCGTTCATTACATTGATACATCAATCTTCAAGTACTGGTTTCATGTCACGATGTCGTAAATTTATCTGTCATATATTCGTAAATTTTTCAAATCTAACGATTTTTCGGAGCACAATGTCACTGTCCGACGAGTCTATATCATTAATCACCGGTTTTCTCGGGAGGGGGTGGTTTTTCTTACACGGGCGCATTCGACTCGCAGCAACCGGTGGGGTCCAGCGTAGAGTACGATAAGTTCACGCCGAATTGTATCGCGGACAGAACGTCGCGGACGACTGAGACCTGAGACCAGCTCCGCCGGAGCAACCGGCGGCCTGAGAGATCGCGGCACGCACCGCGCATGCGTGCGGGCGATATTCGCCCCCACCGCCCCTCGTGCCGCACCAGCCCGGGATCACCCGCCGCCGCCGCTTCTTCCTTCGTCCCTTCGTCCTTCGCCTTTACCTCCGCAAGAAATCTCTTCGCGCACGGCATTTTACGGGCCCCGCGATGATGCACCGTGAAACAATAGGCATGGACGAAGGGGGCGAGACAGACAAGTCCGCGAACGCAGTGGGCCGCATCTCCACCGGATGTACGATCGGTATGAGATGCACTTCTCAAAAATTGCCACTTCCGATTGTTCGATGGAATCGTTTCTTTTTAATAGCCAAGTAATTCCAGAGTATAAATCTCTTCAAAAATATAATTTAAAAAAAATAAATAAATAAATTGGAATTTATTTGGTTGTTGTATTTATTATAAGACAAATTTAATATAAAGTGTGATATCTGAGAAAGAAGATGATGTGCTTAGCCTTGTCACGCTTTGCCGAGCAAAGTTGGAGAACTGTGAGCACAGGTGTGGTCATGCATCGGAATGTATGTATAAATGGCGTAAGATAACTGCTACTTCTCGATTCAAGTATATTTTTTAAATGTAGGTATCATTGCTTCGGTAGTGTTATTTTATGTAGTGCTGATTAAAGATTTGGAAAAATTGAAGCTGAGAAAATCATAGATGCGGATCGATATGGCAAGACGTCATGGTCCTTGGAGTCACGCGTGTTTGTCGAAACCGGTTTTCAATTTATTTCGAATAGAAACGACATTATCCGCATTAGACTCTCATGGAGATCGCTTCTTGTCCGCGATAAAAGGCATTAAATTGATTTAATATGGAATGAAGTGGTACACCAACGCGCGTGTCGCTCTATCTTAATCACGATTAGTCTTAAAGCGAATTTAGATAATAACGACATTTATCCTTTAGCAGAGATTCATTTAGAAAATAAATATTCATTATTTTCAGGAGATACGAAACTCTTTATTAATAAGCCACATATTATTAGAATGCGCACACACATTGAAACAGGGATTTTATACAAAAATAGTAAATATATATTGAATTTTTTATATCCATTGGGAGGAAAAGACTTTTATAATTATATAAGAGTCGCGGTAATAAATTATATATAAGACATACATTAAAATATTCATATAAAAAAATTAAAGAATTGAGAAATACGTTTCAAGAAAAGACGTTATAAATATGTAGGTAACGAACAGCATGAGAGATGTATCTTACACAGGATATAGTTTAAAGCTAATGGATGGCCGATGTTAAATGCGGCGTTTATCTTACGCTTTTGCGCGAAAGTAATATTTTTTTGCAAGCGATTATCCAACCGTTACCAGGGCTTTTAGTCAAAGGAGATATCAGGCGAGTGCTAAAAAGAACGCTCCGATTTTAATCCCTCACGGGAATCTCTTTCTTCCTCCGGTCTTCGTTCACGTTTACGATGTAATGCGCGGGACGTACGTTTCTGTGACACCGTGAGCCTGTCTCTCTCGATTTTACGATCGTCTGGGTCGAACGACAGTCGACCGGCTGGTCTTTTCGCCGGGCGTTCCATTCACTTTCGCGCCGCCATTCAGAGATGCTGGAGTAAACGACGATACCGCGAAATCCGGATCGAAATGGGAGCAAGAGAGAAAGAAGTCGCATGTATAAAAAGAAGAGGAAGTCACATACTGGGAGAGAGAGAGAGAGGGGGGGGGGGGGGGGGGGGGGGAGATGTGGAGAAGAGAGATCGGAGGAAACTGCGAGAGATAATGCGAGGAGAGGAAGATACGATCGTTGATGCCGATCTTGCAACCGGTACAACGAGGACTGCTTTTTCGTCGCTCGCGGAGGTCGGCGGGCGGTTTTTGTAGCCCCTTTAAGCCGACCGCGGTGCTTACGATGATAAATAAACACGGCGGCCTCCCTATCCCTCCCCTCGGCTACCGCATTGCGTTCCTCCGATCCGATCGATCGACTGATGTAACGCGCGATCTGTCGACGAAGAAACATCGCCGGCATGTCAACCAGACTTTTTCCGACGCGCCAGGAAGCTGGAGAGAGGAAAACATTTTGCCAGATGTGTCGAGCATCTAAAATTATTGAGGTTTGTCGGATCTGTCAGGAGAGTCACACCAAGTTGTACGAAATATCAGTACGAAAGCAACGTTATTCAGAGTTGGGTTTTTTATTTTTATTTTTATTTTTTTTTTTTGCGAAGGGAACTTACCTTACATAGTCATTATGACGCCATCGTGACGACGAGTATCAGAATTTTCATTTTACATGTATTATCTTACGAAACATGGGATGCGAAGGAATCAAAATTACTCTTGCGTTGTACGATCATTAAAATGTTTCACGCCAGGCTTATTTTCCTAAATGTCGAGAGTGGGTTATGCAATGATGTTGTTGGCCACGGCACGAGAGCGTTGTAAAATAGATTTTACAACGTGGAATCTGTCGGTCACGGCGCGCGGCGTTTAACAGTTATGCGTCGGCGGATTTCTCTAATTATTTTGCTTTCATGTCTCGTCGACGCTTGTCCGCGTTAATTGTAACCATTTGTCAGGATTCGCCGGGTGGACAAACAGATTCTCGTTAACGCGTCGACGTAAAATAAAGATTAAATCGCATCCGCGCCCAACAAAATTCATGTGCCTTGCGTAGAATGCGCACAATCGTGCACGTTGCCGGATAAACGAGGTGAGACACCAGGTGCGTCCGGTTAAATAAATGGGGCATGGATAGAGAGAGAGAGAGAAAGAGAAGCTCTCTTTTTTTAATTCAGAATTATAACTTCTTTACTCTCAAAATATGATAAACTTAAAAAAGGAACAAGAATCTTGACCAAACTCAGATTTTTTTTATAAAATATATTGTGTTAAAAAATTATAATATATAAGATGCATTTTAAAATATTAACAGATTGAGACAACTATTACCACTAAACTGTCTTTCAATGAAATTTGCATGTTATACTTATAACTGAGACCACCAGAGACTATTTGTTGAAAAGCAGTCTTACAATTAGTCAAGATACACTGATTTCATTTAAGAGAGTACGTTACTAAATTTTTTCTGCAAGTAAGTCTACCACAAAGTACTTCCGCGTTACACAAACGGGCAATAAGTATACATTTACAAAGATTTTGTTCCGTGATTCCGGCATATCCACGACTTGCGCGATCATCGAGATACGGAACGTTCACAGGATAGGACATGCGATCACGTGGAGTTTCATCAAGATTTTCGTAGACACGAAACGAGATTAGTCACGCGGATTTAAGCGCGGCTTTCGTGCCAAGACAGACAGACGCGGAGGTACCGATTTGTTCTACTTACAAAACAAGCGCGTGGGCCCGCTTCGAATGCACGCATGTAGTTTTCCATAAGTCACCGACTTAAAGATCCGTGACGTTCGTTGCTTGTATACCGGGCGATATCTTGTTTGCTCAATTTCTCATGCACGAGAATCTTTTACATTTTTTCAACTAATATTCGGAGATGGAAATGATGACGCGTTTTTTGAATTTTTTATTTAGAAACGTAACTAATGATTATGTATATCGGTCTTAGAAGTTTAATATATGCCACTTGAAAATATAAACAAATTTCGAAAATATTCGAAAGAATGATTATTTCTTTGCCGAAAGAAAGTAATCTCTATTTGTAACTTACTAATATCGTACTCTCATTCTTTTATCATATCTTAATAGTTATTTAAGGCTATCTATCGTCTATAGCGTATGATATACTATAATTTTACGAAATTAATATGTCGGAGGATCAATATTCTATTAGCTCATTTGGATTTAAGTATTTCACGCATTGACGTGCAGACAGTATAATATCGCAAATTATAAAATATAATGATGAACATATTTACATAAAACTGGTTAAGTGTCAATATCGTGAATTAGAAACAAAATTTATTTTGTGCGACTTGTTCATCGGCGTATATGTACAATATCACACGTTTACTTTCGTTATCTTTCGATTTCGCATTTTTAATCAAGTTCAACCGGGTTATCGGTGGAGATTAAGCTTTTGGGTCACTTCGCCATTTCAAAGAAATATATCACTTTCCGTTTGCGATAGCCAATTTTAACGGGCTTGCATCTTTTACATTACATTAAAGATGCGACGAAAAACTTTTAATTAATTTTTTTATCTATTACTTGTAACATATTTAATTAATATTAACGTTCGTGAATATGATAGCAGCCTGTAACAAATGTTCGAGGCACACACTTACCGTAAGATACTCTCGACTTTCTTAGTTACAAAAATAAATCACTCCCAACATTCTAAAAACAGTTGCGAGGGTGCAGAGGTAGGGGTAGACTGGTCGGGACGAACCAAAAAAATGTCAGCTCGCGGAACACCCGTCGCGGCCGCAATCTCCGAGATACACTTTCGTCTGATGATCGCCGCACTCTCGCGCTCGTAGAGAATCCCATTTTGCACGGTGCACCTGCTGAGTGGCAACGTGCGAAAGGGGCGACGAAGAACGCGCGTCGGCGCCCGATTGCGATAACCGGAATAAGCGTCTTCTGTATTCTTCAAGGCCGCGAGGATACATCGCCGCGCGACCTTTGACATCTCGCGCGCCCGAACGACGACACCTTCCACGGTACGTTCGCCGATCCGGCTCTTCTTTCACCACGTTTACCTTGAGACGTCACCATGGCATCTCCCCCGTGCGAGAGAAAGCGCCGGTTTTGTCACTTCGCGAGAGATTCGACATTCCGGCGGAGAGGAATACGTTTCTGTCACGGTGCGTTTGTCGAGTCGCAACGAAGGACGTTCGTTGGTCTTGCTCTCTCCCTTTCCGAAATATCAGCGGTACGTTTGATAAATTTTGTTGATGAGGGTAATATTATTTTATAATTTCCTCGACCGGCAAACTCACGGCCATTGAAACCACTTTTACGCCGGAAGTGCTTCGGAGATAACTAGACGACAAACACGAGAAAAGCAAACAGGGTGGATCCTATATGGTTTATACTCCGTATTTTAAATGCAAACATTGCTGATGAGAACCTTTTAGTCCTCCGACCTTTTTTAGCTCCTTCCAGTTAACGGGAACAACCCGCAGCTGGTAGTCGATAAACAGGCGGGTCTTTGTAATAATCTTTACAGCTTGACGAAAATGAAAGTAGTCTGTTTAAAAGATATGCTAGGCTTTGTTATCACGGATACGGCGGTTTACCGGCGTTCAATGTCGCATACATAAGTCTGCCAACGCTAAGGAAAAACTACGCATCAGTATAATAGAGAGGCTGCAGCGTACAATGTATCATTATTTTCTTCTGACAAAATTAGATTACCTCATTCATAGTCACTATGCGCCTCGGACGTTTGCATTTCATTTTCACAGATAATTACATACGACAATAGAGATCCTATTGAATGAGCAAACAACATCAACTATTTTATATTGTAATTTTTTACGATAACATGGATTTTGATGAGACTGGAATTCCATTTTGAGATTACAATCTCTAATTTTTAGATTCGATTAAATTTAGGCGGGTTTCGTTTGATTTAAGATACAATTTGTGAATATTTACGTCTCTCCTTGAGAGTGAAAATATTTTATATTAGAAATGAGATACTCGGGATAAATAATTTTGGAGAAGTTATCTGGATATTTTTTTATGTATTATTTTATTGACTCGTTATCAAACGCAATGCACTCGCATCGTATACTGCATTTTTAATCCTTTGGTTTAGATATGTAGCTTATGTAGAGACTAAATATTATCCTTCGCTGCACCTAGATCGGAGACATGTTTAACACAGGTATAGAGAATAATACAGTGTATATTGCGAAAGGACATTAAACAGGATGAATGTGCGCGGCAAGTACAATACACGTAGCATTTAGAATATAGAGTTACACATAAAATACGCTTTTTCTCCTTATAACACTTTAAGAAAAAAAGATGAAAGAAATTTATTACATGCGCATTTTTTACGAGTACTTGTTATTCTTTATACAACGATTCTTTTAAATGTGCGATCGATTCTATAATCGCTCCATACATAGATGTATTTCTTTAACAAAGCGTAATGCAATATTAAGGAGTTTTTTTTTTGACATTAATTGATAATAGGTACATAGCATTACAATGTTTAACGGTATTAAAGTTACTCTCGCGATATGTGAATATTCGAAACACGTCTGTCCTTATATAGATACCTCTTTATATTATGACTTATATTGCGTCAAATATATTATAAAAGAATATGGTTCAACGGAATTTTTTTTTTATATCGTTTGAATAATTTGATTTTAAGTACAAATTATATCGGTAAATCGAAATTCCGCGTGGAGAATATCCTATATATTATGGAAATTATTAATAATAATCATTTGTTAATTGATGGAAATTATTGTTGCGACGAATCGAGTATCTTCAGAGGTACATTTTAGGAAGTATAGCCGCAATGAATCAGACAAAAATCCGATCGAACGATCGCGATGGTAATCAAATAATATTCACGACATGCGATCGCTATCGGATTTTGTCGTTTGTTCATACTTTCTTTGTTAAGAGACTCGTACGGAAGGAGGTTGAGACTCCTCTTTTCTCGAATCTCGTCACAAGTCCTACACTCGACGTCCACGTTTCGATTTCACAGCATCCTCGAGAGGACGAGGAACGCCATCGATGCGGCTAGGTTTATCATCGCGGCATTCATCGTGGATGCGGCCGAGAATTGGAGTTTGTTTTTTAGGTCTTCCGGCACGTCCACGTAGACCTTATCGACTCCCACGTCTCTGATCAATTTCGAGAGCTCCGCGGCGTTAACGGAATCACCATCCGACGACCAGATCGTCAGTGTCGCGTTTGTGAACGTCGTGTTCTTCAATAACGTCTTTATGGCATCGATATTGTTCGCCACGAGGCCGGCTCGCACGGGATAAGTTACCGGTTGGGTAACTTGATTTTCCTTCAGAGTGTCGATCATGGTTTGAATCTGCTTCAAACTATATCCACCCTCGGTGATGCCGAATTCTTTTCCATATCTAAAATATTGACGGATAGTTAAACCACTCAATCGCGTAGTATATGGCTAAATAAAAATTTATTTTTTTATTATTTTATTAGTATTATACAAGTCGGATACAAAAAAATAGAATTTACAATTGCAATTTAATATCGATGTATCCATCAATATTTTTATTTAAGTATCAAGCAATTCGACTAAAATTTTATTTCCTGCAAATAATGACGATTTTTTCCGACCAATCTTTAAAAATATCTATCTTATTATTTATTCGTTGATTTTTTAAATATTTTTATTAATATACGTCTTTGACATTGACGTGTATCCGACGTGTATCATACGTATTTTATTGTAGCGCTAAGTTGATTATCTCCTCTCAGGGACTTTATATTTATAACTCTCTTTTTTATAAGAGATCGCTCCATGGTCACGATATATATTTCTTTGCTTATACGGTTAATTAATTACAAGGTTATATGTTAGAAACTGTTGTTACTCTGTTCACACAAGTGCGTCTTGATCTTGTTAAATTACCTGGTTGTCCAGCCGACGGAGAGGATGCTGTCTGGTATAATTCCGTTAGCTCCTTTCAGAAAATCTTTCGCATTAAGCGAAGCATTAGGAGCGTTCACAGGTCCAGGAATAATGTCCGCATTGAGGAATACCGGGAACGTTAGCTGGACAAATAAATGTTTTATTTATGTTTCATTTTTCAAAAAAATACGTTTTATATACTTAAATATATACATATATACATATATATATATATACGCACGTTTGCTCGCAGTTTTGTGAGAATGGGCTTGCTATTCTCGAACGCTTGATTGGATTTAAAGTCCAGCTTGATGCCCTTAGTATGGTTGCGAATGTTGAGCTCGAGGAAATTCTCGAGCGACAGGTCACTCTCAATGGCCGGTGGATGCGCCATTATCGGGATATCAGTCTGATTGATAGTATTGTTAAGTTTTCCCATAACGACATCGGCTTCCAGCATCATGATGTCCTCTTTAAAAAGGAAAGTCGGTTGCTGTTCGTTCGTATGTATGTGTGTGTGTGTGTGTGTATATATATATGCAAGTGTGTGAGGCATAGCTTGAGACGACCGGCTGGGCGAGAGGAGAGTTCTGGCATGTGCATATACGTGCAGGGAATATCGATTACTTCCTAAAGAGGCTGGAAGATTGCCGGATCCACACGTTTGTCAGTGTTAACGCTCAAATGAACGAAAATTCAAGCTTTTTCATGATGAAGGCCATAGAAACTGACGTCAGATTGTCAAGTTGTTTGAAAAAAAAACGAGTAGTTTTTACGAGCTAAAGCTACGACATTTCTTTCTTCTGGATATCAAAGCCATCATTGTAGACTTTCAGCGAGCTTTGGGAGGTATTATAAAAGAGGATAAGCGTTTTTCTCGTGTAATAGATTGTGATAATTTGTTAGAAGTGTGTGATAGAAATATGCAAGAAAGTATATAATCGATCGGGAAAGGAAGAAGAAATTTAGAATTCTGATCCTCAATAATATTTTTGTCATTGAAAGACATATAGTCGCGGAATTAAATTACGAAAGTCAAAAATCGGAAATTTGATCTTCGTTTGTGATTACTTTGCACCTTGGTACTTTATTGAGATTCAAAGGAGGTACGAATGTACTTTTCGAAAACTTTGCATCGTGACGTGACTGCGTACAACTCGTGACTCATCTACGAGGATTCAATCGTATACGGAAATAGAAAATTTAAATACGAAGTCTTGAATTTTTCTTTGAAGTTGAAGCGCAAAGTTGAGAAAAGTTCCGTAGTAATTCGAGTTTAAAGTTGGCGTATATTCCGTGTCGAGATACGAAATGTACGTACATGTATATCAAGGGAAAGATGCTTGTCAAAAATACGAGACTTAATCAGTTTCATTTATATTTTATATAGACCTGGTTTGTGAAGGCGTGCTAGATAAATCTTGTAAAGCGGATACTGCATAAAGCTTTCTCCCTTGCTGTCGATATTTCTGAGAGCGCACTTTTCAAGGACGTCCCACACCATTATTTAAAGCGCGCCGATGTAAAAAATACATGTCACCATGCGGGCTGACACAAAGACACGCGCAATTGAACTCGATATGATGGGATATTCACGAGAGGGAGACAAATGCAAAAAAGCATCGGCATTGAAAACTAACGTCATAAAATGCCACCGAAGTTCATTAATTAATAATATATTGATGATCGAAAGTCGCGAAATTAAAGTAAATTAGCATTTTGTCGGGACGCGAAATTTTCGTCGAGGCTATTTCCGATTGTTCAATATTAAATATTTACCGTGACTGTTACACGTTTGCAACTAAAACAGTTCAAGGTGCCGCGTCGCAAATAGATATACATATCTCAATTATTTGTAATATTTAATATTGCACATTCTTATCGACTATTATTATTATTATCAGATTTATCAATTACTGTCTGCTGATATGAACCATTTAGAGAGAATCTTATGTAATTATCATCTTTTGCAATCTTATTGGCGCAGTAGCGTTGTGTCAGCGTTAATCTTCAAGCGATCATGTTTCGAAAGTATAACTTTATTATTTTCATTGAAATATTATCAAAATATTATCTTAAATAAATCTTTTCTGAATGCATTAAACTGTCATGGCCATGTTCAGATTCTAAATTAAAAAATATATTCGAAAATCCGTCAACATTTTAACGATGTCGATTTTACGTGAAAGAAAGCATCCTGGTTTAATAATTTAAAATTTTTCTTATCTACGAAAACAATGGGATGCTTATTAAAGCCGCGTCAAATACCTTCAAAGCAATCGTCGCATTTCCAACAATGCCGGCGATATCCGAGCACGCGAGAATAATTAGAGTGCCGTCGCTCTCCTCTCCATCTCTCGAGTGCAATAAACGAAGAACGAAGGGAACTTAGACTACGACTTCACAATCGACCTACCTGACGAAAGTGCTCTCTCCAATTCCGTCAGGTTATTGACGGCGTGCGCCCAGACAATCTTCGTGAGATTGCCTTTGATTTTGGGGAAGAACTTGGTCGGATCCGGCGCGACAGGCGACGGGCTGTTGTTGTTGCACATGGCAGCCTCTGAAACACGAAAAGCCACCTAAACTGTATTTTATAAGGCCATGTTTCGCATTTACATCAGTAACGTGCACGGACTTGACCTTCTCTCCATCAGTATTCCCGAGACCGCGCGAACCATGACCCAATATTCGCTTCATAATTGAGCGAGGACTCGAGAATTTCTCGCGGCAACCGGCTGTTCTCTCCGAGACGACGCGACGGAGAGAACCTTATTCGCTCTCCTTCTATTGTCTCGTTCGATCGATATAATCACGTTCATTTGTCACGAGGGGTTTCCAACTACCGTGGTCGGCTGGCGAGCCGAGCGACCGCGAATCCGGGTGTCATCTCGCCGAGATATACAGATATATATATATTACTTTTCCCGCCGCGGCGAAATCCTTCTTTTTTCAGTTTTTTTTTTTTTATTCTCTTGACGGCGTAAATATCGATAGAAGTGAATTACATACGTCACAGGACCGTATGTAGTCGGGAGAATAAACCTGTACGCGCTCGGGGACGTGTCAGTATGAATTAATAACGGGATTGCGTCGAAAAATTTCACAGTGCGCTCGGCTCTTTTTCTCCGGCGGGTTAGACCATTTCCGGTACATTCCGAGCCATGTGGTGAACAAACTTTGCGCGTCAAATGACCCCTCCGAACAGATTACGAGGGCGATTGGCTTCTCTTTAGACTACGTCTTTTTATGAATGGCCAACAGCGGAGCCAAGTCCGTTAAAAATTTGCTTTGATCTTCAAAATTAAATTTGATATCGAATTTTACAGAAGTAAGCGAAATTTCATAGCGAGACGGAAATATCGAGGTAAATGTTTCTCTTAATTAAAAATCCCTTCCTGTTTTTTTTTTTTTTTTTTTTTTTTTTTTTAAAAACGTGAACGAAAGAGAGATAGCGGTTTTAGGCACGCTACGTTCGACAATGCGGGTATGTCACTTAAAGTTTAATATCGACCGTGATAAAAAAGTTTGTGACTAATCAACTTCACGACCCGCAGCCAATGTTTGTTCCTTGTCTACTACCAGTTTGTAACCGGAGCAAAAATTTGACGGAGAATCTTTTTACCGCGTAGAAACCGCAGATTGGCCGGATTAAATTACTATACTCGTTAAATTATTCGGAATTAGTCATTCATTTTTTGTAAAGTTTTTCTGAAAAACTTTTCTCGTGCGAACAATCGATAGCTAGCCGTGCCAATGATTCCGTTTGACCCGTTTCCGATCCAATGATCACGGACTAAATGTGATCGGTCAATGGAAATATGCTCAACTGGCTTTTTTTTTTTAAACATTAATAGCAGCTTTCTATCCGTACATTTCCGTAGTTTATAGATAAAATAACTATCGAACTGTGCGAATATTTTCTGGAGATTTTAAATTTTTTATAAAGCCCATATATACGCGTTGTACAAAGATACAAAATGTTCGTGTCACTTGGGAGAGAATACATCGTTGTACAAGAGAAATTTACTTATAGCTAGATGGAAGAACCGTGAGCAAATTGCATTTGCCGAGCAATGCGAGTGATAACAAACTTTAGCGCGACCACTCCCGGGTTAATTTAATGACATTCCTACGAAGAGCTAATGCTCATTCGTGTACTTAGATACACGATAGCAAGAGGGGTGAGTCAGCAAATATTATTTGAATTGGTCACACCATATTAAATTCGTTTTGATTCTCGTCACTCGTGAGATGTTTCATATGTGGCAAATTTTTAAATATCTTTTGGCGTTTATATATGTCCTCGTGTACGTTGTCCTTGCCAAAAATCCGAGCTTCCCCCAAATTTTACCGGACGTATCATCGCTACAGTGTCTACGAAACGGCCGTTTCTGGTACGGCAATCTCGTATAAAGACCATACTGTACTCGAACCGGTCCAACCACGAGGGAAAACCGTGAGAGCGGTCCTCCTTTTTTGTTACGAGATCCGTTTGTGTGCGCGATCGAACGCTACGAGATCGAGGCGATTGAACTGGTCGAGTTCAGGCGAACTAATTGGCTGGACAACCGATCGTCTGTTCTCTCGTGGTTTTCCGACAATACGACATGCCGTTGCACCGCGTATTCTGATGATTTTATTATTGCGGTTGGAATTACGGAATTCTTCCGCGTCACACAACTCGGCAAAGGTAAACATTTGTTTTTTGAAACGCATAGCGTGATGTGCATTCAACGTCAATGTATGTTTTTACCGATCCGGAAATGTCTAATTTAAAAAACGCAAGCGCGACATCTTCCACATGTATCTATTGTATAACATAGTGTTGCAATGAAGTCTTTTACAAATTGAAATATCCACTTCGTGCACGCGAACAAAGTGAAGAACTAATTAAACTTAGGAATAGAAGTTCCATTGTTTGATTAATTGATTGATTGATTAATGAATTCGACTTTGCGACTAGAAAGTTTCTCTTAAAACAACAATAATATATTTGCGTACAATTCATTTAAAGAGATGAAACCGTAGCACACATGGAGAAAAAAAAAGAAAACGTATTAAAAAATTTAATTAAGAAGAAATAATGTTTTTGTGATCCATGAAATAATATTTCTCAATATACATATAATCCTGTAATATCAAATATGCAGAAAGATAAATTATGATAACAATATTTATGGACGTATATAAATTTACGCATTTGAGACGTACGGGAAAATAATACCGATATGCCAGTGTAAACCATTCACTGCTGATCCCGTGTAAAATTTCGTTTTAACAACTTTCGATATTTCCAAGCCGAGCATCAATTTTTATTGTATTCTCGTTTCACCGTAAAATGTCAAATGTCACGAATTTCATATCGGCTTTTCAGCTCTACAATGTCTCGAATTACAAGCACTTTATCGCGACCCGTATTTTCTTAGCTCGTACGTGACGTGTCGTGGATACAACGAGGATGCAACAGTGAAATCGAATCAGACTTCCGACTCCGTGAACAGCACCATCGCGCCGGCGGCCTGGCTGCCTCTCTCTCGCGATATACAAAAGAATTCCGATGCCCTCGTGGGCTGATAAAAGCATCTTTCACGCGTCACTGCGCCGCGTATAGTTTGCAAATAATCGCGACTACCGGCGTTCTCTTCCGCTTAGAATGTGCTTCTGAAGGCTCAAGTCATCTCGCCGGCGAGGCGGAGCCTCGTTTCGGTGGATTTTGCCTTAGTCAGCCGACTGACAAAGCGTGACTTACCGCTTGTCTACTATTACCAACGAACTTGAGTTTCGATTAAAGTAGGAATCGACTGTTCGAGAGCAGCAATTCGGAACTTTAACCGGAATTTGATATCTCGCGGATTTACCTGACAGAATTTCATGTTAGTCAAACTAGTTCTATGGAAATGCAGAACAAATCGTTGACTGTCAGATACTTATTCATAGGAATTAGGAACTTGTTCGACGTAATCAATATTTTTGGTCTTGGTAAGCTGGAAAGATTTGGTCAAAATGTAAAAAAAATTATATTTAACTTCTTTTTTATTTATTATATTTGAAATGTAATATGTCGGTCGTGCTCGCGAGAGAAAGAGAGATGTATTATTAAATTATCGATTTTAACGAATTCATGTAATGCTAATGATGTTATATATTCGATCATTTTCCAAGACGAGGAATCAGGTTACAGGTATTACGAATTGTAACAATTGCGTTATTAATTCCGTAGAACTGCGCAATCGCGAAATGATTTATATGTTGTGTCATCAAGTGTAAAATGTCAATGATAAATAATAATGTACAAACAGTCTGACAAACAGCTGATGGGCCATCTGTCACGCTTATTCCGAGCTGTTCAAACTGCGAGCATATATCTCATATACATATTTTAAAATACGATATCGTGTTTTTCTAAATCGATTATTTCAATGTTTGCTGAAAGAGGTTTCACATAAGTTTTAATAGTGCCAGAAGTGGTATTTTGATATCAGAAGGTATAATACAAAATCAGCCATGTCGGACCATGTTGGATCATGTCGGCCGCTCGCACGATATAGCGAGAAGTATATCGTTACAATGTAAAAGATTGATACATTAATATATGCAACAAAATTTGTTCAATTTTATTAAAGCATTAACTTCTGATAGCAACTTTTTTGCTGTTTATTATATATTGCTATTTTACCAAGAAACTTTCCATCAAATTAACGGAGCTTAAGGTATAATTACGGACTTGCATCATGGATTACGCCGAGTTTTAAAAGTTTGACCAAGTTTGAAAACCAAGTTAAAGATTTCATAGAATTTGACCTCGCGGTTCGCACGTATAGAATATTAATTCCGAATTTAATACCGAAATTCGCTATTCGGACTTACTGTGATTAATTATGAAGATATGGCTACCTGATGAATTTAGATGTTATAAGTTATAACACGTGATAATAATTTTTAAAGGCGTTCTCCAAACTTCTTCGACAGTTTTGATCAGGATTGAGATAGCATGAATCATTTGATGTTAATTGCCTTACACAAAACAAAAATGCGGTTATCTGTTAAAAATAAATGTTTTCTCGTTTGGTCATTTATTTAGAATTTATAGATTAAAATTTTTTATTTAGAAATATTAATGGCCGTTTAATGCGCCGAGAAAGGTCGTCGTTTTTTACACGATGACGATTTTGCTTCCATCTCAACTATTCATGCTCGAGCGTAGATCGCAAACCGTGATTCATACAATCGATTTGCGAGCATTGCGTCTTTTAAAGTCAACAACCGCATCTACGGGAAATTTCCGATTTCTACATCTCAGTCAAACTTATTCGGGCATAATCTTTAAGTATACCAAACGCACATAATATACTTGCATATTCCAGCGTACAACAGAACGATGAATTTGTTCTGCTTATCGCGGATAAACATGCCGTTATCGGTTTGATAGTTTTTTTCCATTTCATATAAACGTTATATCGTCTGGCGAGTTCCATTCAGGTGATGTCGTCAAATAAAAATGATCTCTCCGGTCGTGACTCTTCGATACAGATAAGATTGAAATTGCATTGTGTTACCGCTTTCTCTACTCACATGATATTCTCTTTGTCGAAATGCGATAAAAACCGGTTTATTAATGTAAAGCCAGATTACGACACGGTCATGTGGCGCCGCAATGATTGTCTTTTCGAATAAGTACTCGTCGATAATTTATTTGCAACACAGGATTTTTACAGACGTTTCAATATCGTATCGAAATAACCTTGTAACGCGCTCTGTAATAACATTGCGATCCAACCTCGCACACTTGTTTTCATCGCGTTTTTAACGCTTCTTGATACGAATTATTCATGACGAGTCATTGTACTCCGTCTGGATGTTCGCGCGATTGATGCGATTCTGCTTCTCATTGCTATCAGTGTTTTGCTTTCGCAACGAAATGCGATGCACGATTTACTTTTCATTGTCATGTGGATGTTGGTATCTGTCTGAGTACGTCATGGTGACTTGCGACATGAAATAATATGATAATGTTGATCGCGAATTGTATTTAATATTAAAATATTTTTTTACAATTAAAATACAGATTATTAACTAAGATTATTGTTGAAAGCTGTCGACATACGTATCGTGGGATTTCGTTAATCCTCATGGATCACACATTTCAAATTTACGCGAAGTGACTGCTGAACTGATATAAATCATTAATTAATTGCCTCCTGGCAATTACGCTGCCTATCCCATTCATTTTCGTAATGAGAATCACTTACGTCATGAGATCTCGTTCCCAAGAGTTTTTAACCCTTTTTACGCTAATTGTTTACGTGTCTTTTATCTTGGTCCCGGAAAAAGATATCGTATACTGGTACTAACATCCACATCTTTCATATTCTGGGTCGCCGATAGATACGATTCTCGTTTGCGATGTATCGAAATATTTATTACTAGAGATTACATTGATCTTCTCATTTTTATACTTTCCGCGCACTGTCTGCTTATCCGTAAATCGTTGGTGTAGGAACGCGCAAAGAAATGCTATAAACAGTTTATTTTCGTACTATTTTCGTGCGCGGTATGCTGTAACTTATATGCCATCGGTATCATCACGGTCGCGGCGTTAATCTATTTTCGCAGACGCTTCATTTATAAGCAACCATGCAAGCATCGCGGCAGGTATCGGATCGTAGCGTATCTTTGATCAACTCTCTTTTTAGCGGCGAGTATTATGACAATGCCGAAAAAAATGCATTTGGAAAATATTTGTGTTTACCACTATTTTTTTGGATTTGGCAAACATTTACATTAATTGTTTCGATCGGAATTGATCATTCCATATTATTCATGTGTCGTCAGGAAAGGAAAAGAATGTTCACGTCGACAGCGAAGGAATTTGCGTTAGGCCGGAAGTAGGAAGAGGAAGAAAAAAGAAAGAGACGCGTGTCGGTGATGCATAATAAATATCTCCGCGTGTCACGGGATTAATTGTGTTTCCGCTATGTACATCGAGCGGTGGCGCTGATTAAAATTAAGGGCTAATTTAATGTAAGACGCTAAAGAGACACCTCACCGAGTGCACGAACGTACCTATATACGTTGAACGGCGTGCGTCACCCGTGAGATTATTATTAGCGATCGATTGGGGGACGGATCGAGACGAGGATTTATTACGTGTCATCGCGGTCTCCCCAGACCGTATCCTCTATCATCCTGCAATCTATCTCTTTCGGTTTGGAAACTTTACTGGCGATCGCGGGCTCGAATTAATACTTGGGAAAAATTTATTATGCATTAACAAGGAATGTGGGGGAAAATTTAGAAAATTTAATTGATTACAATCAACATTTAATTTGTTTCTGACTCACGGATTTCGAGCCTCGTTATCTCGTACAGTTCGTTTCTCACCTTTATCTTCCTTAAGTGGGGCATGTCGTAATTTGAATTAAATTATGGAACTTTCCGTGTGGAGAAATGCCTTTTCTCGTCGAAATCGTTTATTTGCTCGCCGCGACATCGAACATGTCAGGATATCTGAATCGACGTGATCTATAAAAAGTCTTGGATTGTAAAATCACTATCCGTTGAACAGTCCGTTCGTCTAAGTCGGCGGTACGTCGATTTCATTGTCTCCGTTGTAAGGAAAGTTTTTAAACATCTCTTGATTTTCATTTTCGGAATCGAGTGGAAAATTCCACGGACGCAGTTATATCGTCGAGCCTCGGGTTTGAAGGCTTCATTCGTTAAACTCAATGTAAACTTTACTCACGACTTAACGCGCGACTCGGAGAAGATATCTTCCCTTTAGCGATGTCAAGCGGAGAAACGACGTGACAAAAAAAGAAAATCGATACGTCTATCAGAGGAGCGTATAGGCTTTTCAATGCGCGAGGCGCGCCCCTATAGGTTTTACGACGTTTAAGAAAGATATTTTAGACACGGATTTCATGATCTGCTAATTGTCAGGTTCGTAATTGTCTTGCAGAATGTGGCTTTAAAATAGAATTGATACACAACGGCTAGTTTCTCTTGCGCAGTTTCTCGGTTTCAAACTGCTTGCAAACGAACACGAACGACTATCACTCTCACCGCGGTGATTTATGTTCTCGAACGTAACATTATATCGAGCTGTCAACAAAAGCTGTCGTTTGGTTCGCGCTACGTATATTACTGATGAAGAGACTGAAAGAAAGAATGAGATCTCTATAATATTCTGACAAAAGTAACATTGATTTCAATGATTTATTTTTTTGTTGGAGTAACGAGACGATTTTGGAATAAAATATTCATTTGATATATTGTTACTCAAACGTTTTCAATTAAGAAACAATCCGCATTTAAATCATTCATAAACAATTGATTCTAAAAAGCCACCGTTGTTGCGTAATAAAAGTGATCGTTCAATGAATTTGCCTGCATATATCTGTCATTTATTTTCGATGCACGCGATGTAAATAAAAATACAATATATTACACCATTCATATACATCGAAATATCATGTGTCGTTCATACATCAATTTTCAAGTTCATACATCGTTCATACAACATTCTAAATTGCATTATGTCAAACTTACGGATCACCGTTAGCAGTATCGCGATCGTCGTGATCATGGTACTCGCCATGGTCCTCGATGCCGGGTGTACCGAAATCGCAATGGGGTGCCCGACAAAAGAAGGGACGGATCGGCGTGAGAGAGAGGCAAAAGCGATGGGGAGAGCGATGTAAATAAAAATACAATATATTACACCATTCATATACATCGAAATATCATGTGTCGTTCAGACAATTCCGTTTTAAACATTCTAAATTGCATTATGTCAAACTTACGGATCACCGTTAGCAGTATCGCGATCGTCGTGATCATGGTACTCGCCATGGTCCTCGATGCCGGGTGTACCGAAATCGCAATGGGGTGCCCGACAAAAGAAGGGACGGATCGGCGTGAGAGAGAGGCAAAAGCGATGGGGAGAGAGAAAGACACACAGCACAAACCGACGCGGCTCTTCCACGACTCTTCCGCAAGACGCCCGGTCAACTCGACGGCCTCGAAACGACTGGCTGTCTCCACGAGAGGAGCGGTTGGTCGACCGATCGTCGAAATCCAGGCTCGTACATAATGGCACGTACAGGCAGCCGGTCATATTTCGCGGCGCCGCAATGCCGCGCCGGTACACACGTGCTCTCTCACCACTTCCCCGCTCGGGGGAACCGGGCCCCCAGCACGAATCACAAAACGTGGGGTCGCAAACGGTCGAGAGGACTTAGGGGAGAAAAAAAGAAAGAGAGAGAGAGAGAGGGAGCGGAAGGACGATGCGTGGATCGAATCGAAAGTCGTTTCGAGACGCAAGAGTTAGAAAGGATTCATCGCTGTCACAGTTTATCGCGGAGAAAGAGAGAGAGAGAGAGAGAGAGAGGGAGCGGAAGGACGATGCGTGGATCGAATCGAAAGTCGTTTCGAGACGCAAGAGTTAGAAAGGATTCATCGCTGTCACAGTTTATCGCGGCTTCGGTCGACACGGGATTTCCGCGTGCGACATTCGCGAAAGACTGTGACATATCTACTTGCGCTACCGGAAAGAAGGACGCGCGATCGCGGAAATATCGACACGAACAGGTAGATTGATCGTCGCACAAAGCTACGCCTGGAGATTGGAAAATCTGTAAAAGAAAGAATCGGGATTTTCCAGTTTTTTCACCCCTCATTGAATCGTACGTTTAAAATACGGCTCTATCCCTCGTTCGAACGGGTGGGAAGTTATAAATACATTAACGAATAACATGCGCAAATGTATTACATGCTTATATCATAATGTATTTTGCAAGGAAAAGATTATTAAATGAACAGAAAGATATGAACGATTATAATCTATTCTACAGACATGCCTGAAATAAATATCCTTGAATGTATGATGACATGCGCAATCTAAAGTAGATGGTCGTGTACCTACATGATAGTTATTATCCGAATAATCGTATTATACTTTTACACAACAATACTTTTATAAGTTGTTATGATAAGCAATTTTTTACACGTTACACATTATGTTTGTTAGATTTTCATGGCAACTTTAAAAAAGCAAAATCGATCAAACAATAAGAGCTTTAATCAGTCGACTCACGATATAATGTTTTATCAATACTACATTCAATTAATTCGGCGGTTAAAAGCGACACCCTTACGGGACTTAATCGACTGAAGCGGCTTTGATGGGGGTTTTCTGAAAGGACAAGGAGGCTGACGATATACGTGCCATAAGCGCGATTAAACGAGTTTGTGTAGTTATCGTGCATTGTTTTACGCAAAGTTCATCGTGACTCTGCTCGACATGTGTTTGGTACAGGATCCCCAAACGAACCATAAATGTGGGCGACAGGGGTCGTTTTCGTGACTCCGGGCGCGGCACGGAGGGGTGAAACATCTGCCGAGGGTTCACGACCGTAGGGCGGGCGCTAAGCACCAATTTCGCAAAACTTTTATATTTGGTAAAACACATTTACCATTCTTCTTTTTACGACGCGAAAAACTTTTTTCTAACAAGACACATAGTCTTGCTCGAGAGGAGAAGTAGCGCTTAACATTTTTATTCACGGATCGTGATGAGAATAATTAAATCCTTTCAGTAAATCATTATGTTTATCTTTTTTACGAAAAATCTTGTATAGTATATTTTTAAAATATTTCTTAACTGTGATATTTTTGAAGGAAATTTTTGCGACCGAGAAAACGTAACTTTAGTAGATCAGTAAAATTCAACGAAATCATAATTAGATCCGCGAATGTCATGTCTTTTAAGTGTGACTATTAAACACTGCATTTCTTGGTATCGGGATATAGCTGAATTGTTACTCTCTCCTTATCTAGTGAGTCATCCAATCGTATTATGCGACAAATTTACGCGACGTGTTAGACGCGTAACATTTTGTGGAAAAATACGATGCGCGTCTTATCGCTTTATCCGCGCTAACGAAAGCAATTCACAGGGTGACGTTTCTAGCAAGAGACACTGAATTTATGAATAATTGTTTTCTTGTATCCAGTATCAAATTCTCGAATCATCTGCATATTGTAATTTAAACTATTAAAGGTTACAATAAATTTCTGTGCATGCATATCTTATTTTCAAAAAGAAAGAGAAGCCGTAGTAATTATTCGCGATTATATTAATGAAATATAAACCCATAATTACCTCTAACGAGAGAGAAAATTGACGGTCTGATATGTGATTATAAATTAAATTCATTTAATTAAATATTCAGTTGCATTCTATGTATTCACGAATTTTATGCATTTTCTATTTACTCTTTCTTTATTAATATTATATAATTTATATTGGTTATATGTCTATAACTAATCTAGAATCGGTCATATCTTGTTCTCTTAACTATGTCCATTTGTAATGTTTGTAAGAGGCACAAATATAATTATCGTTTACATGTATAAGCTGGCACGACGGGTCAACGGTGTTAATGAGTTAATTTCGCGAATAAACGTCACGCTATTTTTGCGGATAGAAGGACGGTTTATTTATTTAACGCTGGAATTGCGGTCTTTTTGTGCTTTTTAAAACTGACTCGTTCCTCGGAGAACTTTTCTCTTGAACAATCTCGTTGCAACGCAGGTAATGTTTGCTCGAAGTTCGTGTCCATGATACAATAAGCCATTATGTGTCATTGATTATACTCTCGTTTTATATCTGATAGCGCACTCGCGATAGTGCAGTTAATATCGAATGAAAAAAATTAGAGACGCACACGACGCGCAATATGATTTATGCCATTTTATTTCCAGCGTAGTTGAGAATATCGCTGCGAGAGCTTTTTTAATATTCGCGATGGCCATCTTCAGTCACCCGATGGACGTTTTCAATTATGAGAAACGTTCGATTTTTATTCAGAAAGTATCTTCAGCGTAACTATTGCATTCTTTGTCTTCCCGATGACGTCTTTGCGTGACGTATCGATCTTTTTCAGAGTTTCCTGAAACAATTTTGAAAGAAAACCTGGAGGCCGTGAAAATGTTCGACTTATAGAGGTAAAGTGCAAGGAGATGTTTTCAAATCATTCGCGCGTTCTGTTTTCGATAAGGATCGGTAATTCTGCCGATACGTTTCTCGTGCATTTCCAAAAATTTTTAGTCGGATCTGGCGCCACGATGAGATAAGGAAAGAAGTGTCTCCACGAGACAATGGCAAACGCTATCCCTTGTTGCTTAGAGCCGAAATTCCCTGTTAAGCTCGCTCAGGTATATCTGCTTTAAAAGACGTTCTATGCTCGGACGCGACATGCAGATGTGACAATTAGACGTTCCAATTTTCACCCGTATGCTAATACCATCGCAAATTTCACTCGCCAGTGCGACAAAACAAAGAACGAAGCTGAATCCGGGTGAATCGGAGTGTTTCCTCGACAGCAAATCTCCATCCACGTTCTCGTGGGCAATCTTTTTTGCAGGCTTCATTGGCGATAGATGAAATAGAGCAAGTTTATCAAGATTACGTAAGATTGCGTTAGATAAACACATTTAAAAAAATGGAGCATTTTATGCGAATTTTTTTAATCTTTTTTTTCTTTTTTTTTTTTTGCAATGAAGAACGCTTTAATTCACTGATGATTAATGGGACATATACTTACATAAATGTAGAGTAATGTCATGTTTTTAACGATTGCGCAAGTGATACATTAGCGCAGTGTCGATAATACGATAAGATAATGTTTTATTTTAAGTGTATAAATGTAAAATTATTTTGTCGCTTTATCGTTTTATCGCCCGGAAATGCAAGAAACAATTATTAATGGATTTATCTTTCGAAACACGCCGAAAGATATCTGACAAAAATTGTTTTCACTTCCCGATGATTTACTTGCGATATCAATCGCTATTGATATTTTCCGCAATGCCCTAGATCGCGAATCCGATTCTTATTCATCTCCTAAAATTCCTCTGCTTGCCTCGCTTGTTGTAACTCTTGGCGTGTTTGTTTAGGGGCTTGTTTGCGTATTCATGCCTCCGTATATTCAACATTCAAAATCAACAAATGCGTGCCGCTTTAAATATGTGATTTTACTTCGCTCGAATTACGCGATTCGTGTGATAAACAGCTTAGTGCATCGCGTGAAAAGAAAAGAAAAAAGATCTGCGTGCGAATATTACATTTTTTGCTCGCCGCGCCGTGCATATTCCGTCGTTATCATCTCTCCTTGGTTCCGCTTTGTTTCACGCACGTGTGTATATTTTGTTGCGCGTATCGGAAATTGAATATCGATGTCAAAGATGTTTTCCTATTGTTTCCCATCGCGTTACAAATTTTCCATGTAAAAAGTAAACATATAAATGTAGTTCATACATATAACACAAGTCTAAAAAATGTTTTACTTCTCTAACATTTTTCTTCACAAATGTATAATAATTTTTACAATTAAAAATATGATTAATTTTTGTATGTTTTTAAATAATGTTTATATAGAACATAAATGTAAGAAATGTTCTTAACTCTAATAATTTTTATTGGAGCATTTGAGTTAGAGGGGAAGCAATAATTAGTGCATCGCGTGAAAAGAAAAGAAAAAAGATCTGCGTGCGAATATTACATTTTTTGCTCGCGGCGCCGTGCATATTCCGTCGTTATCATCATCTCTCCTTGGTTCCGCTTTGTTTCACGCACGTGTGTATATTTTGTTGCGCGTATCGGAAATTGAATATCGATGTCAAAGATGTTTTCCTATTGTTTCCCATCGCGTTACAAATTTTCCATGTAAAAAGTAAACATATAAATGTAGTTCATACATATAACACAAGTCTAAAAAATGTTTTACTTCTCTAACATTTTTCTTCACAAATGTATAATAATTTTTACAATTAAAAATATGATTAATTTTTGTATGTTTTTAAATAATGTTTATATAGAACATAAATGTAAGAAATGTTCTTAACTCTAATAATTTTTATTGGAGCATTTGAGTTAGAGGGGAAGCAATAAAATAATAATAATAATAATATTATATAAAGAAAGTTGTAAGGCTATTATCAGGACGACTCCTATAGAGATATGAATACGTTATGGGCTTCACCGATAATTTAATCACACGGTTTTAAATACTTTATGTTTGCTTTTGTTCAATATTTAAATATGATTTATTATTTTGCAAAATTTCTAAAAGCACTATAAAATACATAGGATTGCAATATGTACGTCTTATATATGAAGTGCAATTGCACATTCTGACCTTTTCAGATGCGATTACGCATAAATGAATTTTACAGCAGCTACTCTTTAGATCTGACCGTAGAAGACAAACGGCGTACTCGCAGTTACGAGACTCGTGATGATCGATAGTAGGCACAATGCCTCACGAGTTCTTTATCAGCTTGGCGTTTCAAGGCATGCAAAACTTGGCTTTCATTATATTTAGATTTTTTTCTTATTTATATTATAATATACGATGACATAAATTAATATATTCTTACTTGAGTATGATATACGGTAGATTCGACGGTTCAATCGAAACGATTCTTGCAAACTGATTCCTACGAAATTTTAATAACGTTTTTCACCGTGTAATGGCGTGCAAGTGCTGCGTAGCATGATAAACAAATTTTATGCGTTTTTGATGCTCAAGACAAATTTTTCATGTTTAAAAGTTAAAATAAACATGTATCCCGGTGTTTCGTGCAGATATAATATAACATAAGATAATTAAAAGTATTCGAAAATGAAAGAAAACTGTTATTGGCAATGCAGTAATTTGCGTTAGCAATTTATGATAGTAGTGAATAGGAGTGTGTTACCTATCAATGATATGACAGTTTAAAAAAATGGGGCTGCCATTGTGTGTTTGTGAACATGTATAATAATTGAGGAAATATAGAAGATAAAAGTTTGATTTTGTTAATTTATTTAAAAAATAAAATATAAAATAATACTGTAAGAAAGTCTACAAAGATGTACTATTAATCATATGAGATCAACGATTTAATAATAGTAGAGAGTAATCTTTATTGAAATACAATAAAAATGATAATAAAACTGGTAATCATATAAAAATGGTAATTTTTATTAAAATATAATATAAAATTGACTTTGTCCAATTGTAATCATGATCAACATATCTATATTTTGACATAAAAATGTATAATACATTTTCACCGATTGCACTTATACAAGATTACGCTAAAATTGGTAACATTTGCCGCGATTCTCATCGTCGGATACATAATGTTTATAATTAGTTTAAACGTCATTGGCACTTGTAAAAATGACTGTTCTTCTACAAATACAAATAATTCCAAGAGAGTATCACACAAATTCTGTCATATAAAACTTATCCTAGAGATGTATATTGTAACAAAAGGTTGGCACAATAACTTAACATTGGGCAGCGCGCACATTACATTACATGTATTACATTACACGTTAAATGGTAACACGTCAAAAGAAACATTGTTAAGAAGAAAATGTCCAATGTTTGTGTGGATTTTACTAATTCTATATCAACCGGCTAGGAGAGAGATGTCATTTACATTGGTTCAAGTATGCTTCGTGAAGAAGCCACGTCGTTATCTCGAGATTATGGTATGTCAATATCTAAATACTTGTCTAAATAAAGTGCCGAAAACTCGTAGGAGGACAATTACAATTATAATACCAAGGCACGTCACAGATACTCTGTCATACAAGAATAGCATATTATATATCATATATTTGCAATTAAATATCATATATATTCTATATTTCCTATATCTATATGCTTAATTTACTGACAGAATTCGTTGTATATTTCGTTGTATATCTTTTGTACGGCCCATTAATACCTAAAAGTTTGAACAACTTAGAAGGGCAATAATAGTCCACCTGAATTCGAGCAAAAGATAAATTCGGTTTCGTTGCAGTGTCATGTGTATTTGTTATTCTAAAGGTCTTTTATCTTTGATTTACTGTATTCGATTGTAGCGTTAACTCTGTTTTTAATGCCGATGATTGGAAAATCGTCTAGTTATCTATCGCGTAGATTAATTTATAAATATTTATAGATTATTTATATGATCGAGGCAATTTCAGTTTTACATCACGATATATTATGAACTAGAATAATTGGATTAAAATATACTTTGCAATTCTTGATTAGTCAATCGCGCATTTTAATCGTAAACATGTCTTTTAAATTAATAAATTGAAAAGAAAATAATTAAAGCTTTAAAACGATCGTGGACTTCGTTGTCAGTCTTCGCCTACCAAAAATTTATCAAGACGATAATATCATTCCACACGTATCTTCCACGCTATATCTATATCCGTACGTCACCCAGGAATGTAACAATCACGATGACTTCAATATTCGTAAAACTAATACGATCTCGAAGCGAATTAAAAAAAGAAGAAAAATTTGTCTGCATTTCTTTCTTTTTACAAAGATTACGAGATGAGTAATCATTGTTCGATAAAAGGTCTTATATGCGTGTGTCTCTCCGCGTATTTGCTTTGACACTTTATCTAACATATCTATGAGATTACACTCCGATCGAAAATAATTTAGCTCGTGATTAGAGGATTGATATTTTAATATCATATAAATTTATCATCATCGAGCTAATGAATATTGATTCGAGGTGTAATTCGTTTACATCAATATCAATTATACACGATATCGTAATTATAACCATAATAACCCTATTTTATATAATTATCTGCGATTTTTTTTGTTATTAACTTTTGCAGATCATTAATATCGCGAATGCAAATATTCTATTGGTGTTGTGTGTTACTTACACTCCGTTAAATAAAAATTTATATCTTGGAACAGTGTGTCTAGTCGTTATAAAAACATATGAAAATTCACTTAAATAAACACATGAATAACTTCACATGTCAAGAATTTCCCACACCGTTTACGTATCCATTTCAGAGGCATGGTTCTCTGAAGAAACATTTACTATGTTTCTCGCGTACAAACGGCGATCGGTTTTGACGTTATCATCTTCGTTGCTAGTCATTTTATCCATATACACCATTTCCGTTTTCTTCTCAGCGTTGTCGACCATTTTTTCTATCGTGCCATCCTGTAAAACGCATGTCGATTTTGAAAAATATTCCTCTTTTGGCCACGAAAATAAGTAAGGAGTTCTACGAATCAGAATGAATGTACGTACCGTTGGTACCATACGTTGTTTCTTTGCGAGATAAAGAAGCGCTACGGCGGCAATTAAACATAATCCAATGATTGTCATAACTATACCGCTGCATAGCATCACAGTTGGAAATGCTAGTAATATTCTTAAATTAGACGCCATTTCATCGGTAATTTCTGCTTTCAATGTGAACCATATCATTGGTATATAGATATTTGGTATGTTTTTGTAGAGTCTACACAAACATCGTTTTTTTCTTTTAATAAAAGTTGAATAATTATGTAATTTTTAATTGCTTTCGTTAATTTTTAATTATTATCGTAATTTTGTTATTAAGATCGCTTTTTTCTCATAAAAATATACGAGATTATATATTTTTATAATTTCAACGAATTGTTTCGTATTATTCGGGAAACCGTACTTACGACACAACCTCCGATGAATGTAGATAAATATTAGCTTGCAATGCAGCTGATACTTCCAAAGGAATTCCTGTTGTCTGAAATATAAAACGCATCTCTATTTGTATGATTCTTATATTCATTAGGCATTAATATTGTCTAATTACTATACCATATATCCATATAACAACGAAACACGAAATTACTGCGAGCAATACACGCGATTGCTTTCTCATAGCGTATATTATCGCAACCATTGCATGCTATGAATTGCCCGAATGAAAGGCGATAGTAAAATTAGTATCTTGATAATAAAGCACATGAAGAGTTAACTGACCATCGTTATTTCTATCGTGGTTGATTTAATTAATGTTCACGTTTTAACAATTCGCGAGGATAGCCACTTACGGGTTCTAGAGTGATGGAGAAGCTGTGGTCCTTGGCGTTGGGTCTCAACCCCTCGACCGCGTCGAGAACGGCTGGATCAGCCTTGTAAAAGTGAGGTAAGCTCATGAAGACTGGCGCGCCGTAACGACACGATGTTATGTTTAGCAGACCCGATGGCGTGCACTCGCCATTACAGTAGCAATTACCGATGTTAATAACGTCCGGATCATTGTCGGAATATTCATCTGTATTCTCGGAGGGATAATTGTTGAAGGTACTTCCCATGAATTCCGTGTTGCCAGAGATGGTTATATGCTCGCTTTCGAAGAAGTTCTCGGTGATCGTAGTCGGTTCAAAAAACTTCGCTTGATCGTGAGGGTAACGTCGCCTCGTGGCATTACCTAAGGTTTTTTTGTCAATAGTGTATCGATAACCTTCGATACCAAAGTGAGAAGTTGTTCTTTCATATTCGTAGAATAGCGGACTAAAAGAATAATAGATATATAAAGTCAAGAGGTTATAATGTTCGATGTATCTATGAATATTGAGCTATTTTTTGGAAAAACTAATGTAATGTTTATAATGAGAAGAGAGTTGATAAAAACATAAATGACAAATCAAACAAATGATTTTAATGACGATAACGTGAAGATAAACGCAACTTCAGCTTTCATTATAAATATTGCTCGATTTTTACTGATAGTGTCATATTTTGTGTTCTTTATTTTGTAAACCTAATAATAGTTTTCACTAACCGGCATATATCTACGCTAAACAGAGTGATGTCATCCTTTGTCCTTCTAGGTGGCCAAAATTCACCCGCACTGCCTTCAATAACATTGCATGGACTCTTGTTGTGTTGCGTCGTATCTTTATAATTCCATTTTCTCAGGATTCCCAACTGACTGATATCATCCTCGCCTGTTTCCATATTTAAGTGTCCATCAAACATGGTGCTGCCATTTCTCTGTATGTGTAACAAGTTCGCACGGATTGTGAATTATGACAGTCTTCGATTTTTTTGCAATTATAAACTTTTTAATAATTACAGCAGAAAAAGATATTCGCGTAAATAGTTAACGAAGTTGTACATGAAAATTGATATTTTTGTTAATAAGAAAGATTATGTTTTTTGTTTAATTTCTAATTTTTTTTATCAAAGATGATGATACAGTAGCGATCGGATTTACAAGTGAACAAATCGCATGTTATTATTAAGGATCAGCTGTCTCAATGATTGCTTTGCTATTCTTTTAAAATATTTAAGAACATTTTTTTTTATATTATATATATATATATATATATATATTCAATATAATTTTTTAGAGCACAGAGAGAAAGAGAAAGAGAAAATAGTATCAATATATATATATATACCAACGTATAATAGATATCTCCATGACATTTTATTTGCTGTGTGGCAACTTATATATGTATATGTACGATCTCTTCCATTCATTACCAATTTAAGCCCAGTTGTAAATAGTCTACTACCATCCACCGTGACGCTATTGTCCAGTATCATGCAATTCAAATTCCACGCACTATATGCTTCGTATATGTTAATAGATGTATAATTTAAACTGATAATAGTTCTCACATTGCTCGTAACAATTCTCGATGCTATTGGAATCTTTATCTTTAATGTTAGCAGTTTAAAATGTTTTTTTTTTTTTATGTTAAAATGTTTACGAAAGTATGAATAGTTTATGATGAAGCGATGAAGAAAAAAATATCAGGCATGTGCCTGACTTCCCCAAATTTAGAATAGCGGAGCGAGTGACTGTCCAATACTTACTCGAGGCGAGTGAAAAATTCATAGCGAAGTCACACGAGAAGATAAACGAATAATTATTAAAACAAGCATGAATACATATATTAATGAATTGCTTGCGAAGTAATTTCTCGTCCACACGGACATAGCTGGGAAAGGAAAGCTAAACAACTGTATTAATGACCTACCATGTAGAACCAGCCGAAACGATCAAACATCGGTATATCGGGGTCGTTTACCATTGCCGAGCCCATGGTGAGTATGCTATCTTTGTAACCTGTAAATAGTAGTTCGTTCACTGTTTGGCGGCTATAGAGTTTTCTGGTGCTTAACAAGAGGGATAAGGTTTTTTGCCATTCGAATTCCCAGTATCGAATTTTGTGCGCTGCCGACTGCAAAAAACGAGATAAGCAGTATTAACGCGACGTAAGAACCTCTGCTTCTTTTCGCGTTATTCTATTTTTACGTCACGATAGAATTAGAATTAAGAGAAGTTACGGGAAGAACTTGAACATCTTTTGTTACATACATTATATATCCAAGTTTCTCTTATTAAACACGTTTAATTATTTCCTTGCTCTTCAGAGTTATATTGATACCGAGTCAATTGATATATCAAAAATGCAATTTACTATACTAATCATGTAACAAAAGATGTAGTTAGGCTTACCATAGCGACTACGTCCACCTGGCTGACAATGTCGCTGAGACTTCCATTGGTGTGCTCTGCATCGAAATACCATAATCGTCGTTGAACGTAGCTAACAGTCTGATTTTCATGATGAAAAATAACATTGTCCTTTTGCCTCACCTCTCTGCAATTTATAATTATAAAAATAATTCCTTTTTTTCTTTTGTTTTATTATCTGATCTTGATTAATCAACTTTTTTTTCTCAGACATTAATTATAAATATATTTATTTTTCTTGTCAAGCATTATTTATAAATGTTTAAATTAGAAAGAATGTAACATTGAATTACTAGTATGAATTAACTAATAAGCGTTTACCGTATTTACGTGAAAGAAAACTTGATATTGGAATTAATTTTTACTTATATAAAAAATATATATAATATAATATTTTTTAAATTAATATATTAAAACTGATAAATTGTAGTTATCACGCCATCGCGATCGACATCGTTTGCCATTGGATCTGAAGTCGATTATCTGACCGTAATTTAGATATTTGACCTACATATTTTGCTTATTGGTTTTAACGGGCCAATTGCTGTGCAACCTTATAGGACATACGTGTGTGATGACGACGACCTTATGCCTAATGTTCTCTTATTATCAAAGGCGCAATCTTTATCGTACAACTAGCACAAGATTAAAGATGGAAGTACATTGTTAGAAGAAAAATTTTGAAAGAGAAGATATTATTTTAAGCGATAACACATTCATATAAAAAGAGCGAGAATCAGTTTGGCTATTTGTTACAAGTTAATGACCTTGATGTTAAAAAAACATACATTTACATATATCGCAATTATCAAAATTCTATAATCGGCAAAAATGATAAAAATAAAGAATTTTTATTAAAATTCAATTTTATTTATGTGACGGAAACTTTTTAATTACAAGAACCTTCTTAATCAATCTTTGTTACTAAAAAACAGAGTTTGTTGGAATTATCGCGATTTTATTATTCTTTAAAGAACAATATTATATATTTATGGACTATTGATTTTATGATGAAACGATATTTTTAACGATATGCAAAAAGTAAAATATTACGGATACTGACACTACCAATTACTTTTATAAGTCGATGCTTCACATATATTTATTAATATTTGGCATATTCTTAGAATTCTATTAATCAATCAAACGAAAGACACAAACTGGTAAAGTGCATCCGCGGCACTTGTTGTTATTAAGTACACATTCGAGAAGAAAGTAATTTCATAGTCAATTACTTCATATAATCTCGCCCACGCGTGTCTTACAATTGGACCAGAATGTTTTATTGTTCATTAAAATGTCAATACAGCGAGGTTAACTATTTCTTCTTAATTGTCATCATTAAGTTGATTATCGCGTTATTACTTCGCGACGATTTGATTAGCATAACTTTATGTTCACATTTACGATGCATATCAGATCCTTATATGCTATTTTTCTCTAATCTGCATAAGTTTTGCTCCTATCTATTTAAATAATTTATCGATTGTTGTACGTTCTGCTCTTGCACTGATTATTAATATTTCGATCTTGCATTGCAAAGATCTAAAATTTTATCTATTATCTATTACGTATTGTTTATTCGAAATAATTACATTATTCTATAATAAATAATAAACAATCAAGTCAGAAGTATAACGTCAATTTAAGGTTGATTCGACGTTTGATAAAAATTATACGAGATAAAATTTAAAATTTTGGAAATAAGGATATTTAATTATGAGATACTGATTTTTAGTTTTTAGTACGTCATATTTATAAATATGATATTTAGTGTTTTCAGTTTTTGTTATTTATAAATATTACATATTAAAACATAAAAAGCGAATATGACGTATTCATTGCATCAATTATGAGAGGCAATATTGATTATGAAGTATTTATTTCAAGCTTTTTAAAAAATATCTTGCAGAACGAGATCATTATAAAGTGACATAACAACAATATTTTTTGTCAGTTGCAGTTCTTTTAGTTTATAATTACTTAGTTATGCAATGCGTAAGATATTTTATGAAGCTTATATTATGTTTCAACGTTAATATTGCCTTTGATAATAGCTGCAATGAGTACTTAATATTTAGTTTTCAGTTTTTAATACATAATATTTAGTTTTTATTGTATTAACTGCTTTCTATTTAGTAAAATTAGTAGAATTTTATCTTTAATTTTGTCGTGACTATATAATCTCTCTAAACAAAAATAATCTCTATATGAATCGATATTTTTAAAAATTTTGATTGATGCACAAGTGAAAGTTAATCTTGAGCCGTTAATATATGTATATGGAAGCATCTTTTCATTTTGTATTTGTTTCGAATATCGCGATCTCGTTTATGATCGAGCGCAATAATCGTTTATATTGATGAAGGTCATTCTTACCTGAAGCAATAAGGACCAAGCTGATCAAAATGCGGCTTCTTTATACCGAGCTGCTCCGGATTGGTCCAATTAAAGAGGTATACCTTGAAGAGTAACGGCGGTAATTTGCTGGTGTCATTCCATATTTCGAAGGTATTGGAAGTCGGCGATAGAAACAATCCCTGTATGTGGAAATAAAAATTTTAATTCTTTATTTTTCTTTATTATATGTATGATATATATATATATATATATACAGGGTGCGGCATTTATAGTGACGCGGGCATATTTATCGGAAACGAAGTGAAATATCAAAAAATGTTTCAGACAAAAGTTGCATGGTTTCGATATATATATATATATGGATAGATTTTTTTGTGTGGACAGATAGCTTCCTGCTTCTTCCCAGAATCACATCATAAAATTCATTCCATCAATCATATAAGACAAATCGTTAGTTTGAGACGCGATAATGAGCAAAGTATTACATCGTCCGTTTAAAAATTTGTTCGACGTAGAAGTCCTCGAATACAATTATTTGACAAAGAAAAACATCCTATTAGGACAGTAATGATAATGATCGTTTTTTAATTAGATAGTTTGATAATTTTTTGTAATGATGATTAGAAATATGATTATGACTATGCATATTAATAATGATTATGCATATGATTTTTTCTGTTTAACAACGGCGCTTAAATAGCTATCCGTATTCCACATTCTGCGATTGATACTTATCAGTTAATATGCATGGTCAGTTTGTGCAGTGAATATTCACCGCGCGCAAATGCGATGCAAAAGTAAATATTCAGGATTATTATCGCGGAAACATCATATAATTGATTGGTAAATATGTAACTGCTGCAAATTTGCATTTACATATTTCGCGTGTACGATGTGATGTAACAATAATAGATTGCCACTGACAATATATTGTTAGTAAGAACAAATCAAAAGATGAAAAGCTTGAAAAAGCTTGTTAAAATATCAGAAAGTTGATAAATTATTAAATCGATTATGCAATAAGATTGTCATCTACGATTGATAATTTCGAATAAGAATCTCTCCGCGTAGCTGTCAATAATAATTTTTGCGATCGTGGAAATAATTCGATAGAGAGATGATAGGAGGCGAGATACGCGGTGACTCCTATCCTTATCGGTACCGAGATTATTCGCGCGCGAGGGTGTGTCGGTGGCGTGAAATCGTTTTTGCAACGGGTTGCAATGCACAGAGAAACGCGTCAATTGATGGGACAATCAGCCACTTTTCCAATCGGGCCGTGACTATCGCCGAGACAAGCGCGACTCCAGTCTCTATATGCATAGTATCTGGATTAGTTCAACGAGTGATCTTATACTTATTGTACACGATTTTCTGCACAGCAATGATTGGTTGCTGCATTATTGTGTACATGGACGTGATTAATTTTGCGCGATCGTGAATAAAAAACAACATGCAACACACACGTTAGCTTTAAATTTATTTACAAAAGTTGGAGCAATCAACATGATTAATCGTCGCTTGAAAGTCGATGATATATGTTATTACATCTTGCATTTCGCTTCGCTAAGAAAATGAAACACAAGAGAATTTAAAAAAGTATTATTATTGCTGTGGATGATAACCCAACAAAGCGAGGCAATCCGCTGATATATAAATAGAATGAAAATGTATGGAGGAGGCGATATTCCATATCTTCATCGTATATTATACGGCCGAAAATTTCTTATTCATTACATTTACATATTTTATGATTTTAATTATAATGTGTATAATTAGCATATTTAGCAGAAATATGTCTTGTTACGTAAGAAATAATAAGTCTTTTTTAGAACTAAACGCCACGTTAAAGACAAAAATACAATATTAACATTGATAGCGATTCATTAAAATTTATCTACAACTTATGTACATAAAATGTTGATTAGTAAATTGTAATACATAAACATTTTATTTTTAATGTTGAAGTCTAGTATCTTTTGGTTGAACTCAATAATTATATTATTTTTCATTATCAAACCATATTTTTTGAAAATTACTTTAAATTTATTACTTATAATTTAACGATGATATTGTGGCAAGTCACGTCAATATGACAGAGATAAGCAGAGATTAAATTTTAGTATCAATATTTGTTACACACGGGGTTATGCATCGCACGAACTCGTTTCGTCGAATTAAATTTATCAAACGTTTTGAAGCGGATATCGAGTAAGTTAATACACTAGCGCGATCTAACGAGAGAGAAAGATAGTCATTACGTTACAGAAATCATGCTTGGAGTCATGAGTCTTATCACTTTATAAAATAAGGTTCAGCGATTTTGTAAAAATATATTATTATTAATATCACGGATATATTAAAATGTAACAATTATCGTACGCACTCACTTTTTGAATTATATAATGGAAGAATATTGGCCACAAGAAGCAGAGAGAGATGCCAAGGGCTACCAGAAAGAGCCCTAAGATGCCAAGGCCGAGCGACTTGTTCGTCCACGGTCTCATAGCGACGCTCGTGTCTCCGTAAACACTGATCCTCGTCTCTGCAGCATGTGCACCCTGAACTCCCAGTGGCCGTTTTCTTCGTCGATCACTTCTCTCACTCCCTTAGCTTCCCGGCCAACGATCTACGCGCTTCACGGAGTCTCTGCAAGATAAAACGTATCTAATCTACCACACAGTCGGGATAGATGACGAGTTTATGCCTCGTATAGTATATGTATGCACGCGCGTGTTGCCTGTGCGTGGCACGTTTCTTTCAGCTTGTTATGCTTGGTGACGTTTCTTAGTCGGCCAAGAATGCGTAGGCGGCGACACGAATAGACACGCTTCATTTCACGCTGCGTATCAGCTAACATGCCGGATACTTGTGTGAGTATTCTGAAGACCTTCTGAAAATGTATGGGAATATTTTGGACAAATGGACGATACTGGGCGAAGGAAGCTCATAGGTTTAAAACAATATTTACTCGGTCCTCCGTATAATACGAGGCTTTGCAGAAAAAAAAAAAAATATTTAAGTTTTCTTTTTTATATAAATTATATTAAAATAAAGATAATAGAATAACACAAGATATAACGATCTATCATATTTACGGATTTTTCTTGTATTGAAATTTTTGTATGAGTATTTTTTTACTTCTCTCTTTCTTTTTCTTTATTTGTTTATTTTATGACATAAATGCAAATCTAATGAAAACAAATGCATAGCTCTAATAAAAATCTTTTCATTAAAAAAAATTAATCGCTAATAAAAAATTTATATTAGAGATAAAACAATTAATATTACTCGATAATAATAACATGCATCTGAGTTTAAATTTACATTTAAATGATTTCAGAAAAATAAATATTTGTCTAAAAGTTCTCAGCACAACTTATATCTGTTGAAAAAATGTCATGTCAGTATCATCGCATTTACAACATTCCAAATTACATATTGGATTCGTTATCTAGCATGTTTGTTATTAGAGATGAATCGATATAATATCCGGCTTATCTTTTGTTCACGATTTTTTTATATAACCATGACGATACTGAATATTTAAAGTCAACGATAATAATAAAATAAAATAAATGTACGCAATTTTATTTTAACGTGGACATTTAAATGTTGAAAAAAAATTGATTGACGTGATCGGAAATTTTTTTTTATCTACGTAATTTATTAGATCGTTATACAAACTTTATAATTTTCATATTCATTAAATTCATAGAGGTTTTTATAGAAGTAATATTGTCATACTTGCAGTACATAAACATCTTATATAACTTTCAACGATTTAAGATATTAATTTTTTTAATCGAATGTTTCGAGTGTATAGCTTTGATTATTTTATTTTATTCCCGCTCTGTATATATAAATATAAAAATAACAGATATATGTGTAAATGTAGAAATGCTATCTCTTTTAAATATGTTTTCAATTTTATCGATATATAAGAAAGTTGAAAATAATTTAAATTAGTTTTTGTAAAATACAACTCCTCTTTTTGTAAAGTACAAACATATTTGTATCTTGTTGATTGGATATAAGAAGTTGAAACAGCATGATGAATATATAATTCGTCTTCGACGAATATATATTAATAATTAGAAATTCAATTTCGTAATACATTTACATTGGATAAATACATAACTAAGGCCACATAGCTAACACATTAGATAAGACCATTTTAAATCGAACAACTAAAAGCACTCATTCTTTGATGACGTCGATGACAACTGTTATAGCGAATGATCTATATTATTAATGTTTTTATGATAATTTCTAACATGTCATTTCCATCGTATTTGAGCGATAATCAGGCAGGGTTATCTAAAGTTCAGTTCTTGTCAATTGCAAGGATATCTATATTGCATATGCAAGTATTATTTTGATTCGTTATTTTTTTTGTTAAGAGATTGAAAAAATAGTTTTTATTTATTAATCCTAAATAAAAGGCGTCATTTAAAAGTTAGATAATTATATATAATCTCCATAAATTTTCATGAAGTTACTATATATATATATATAATTTTCATCTAATATGTGCTTCATTATGCATATTTAATTATTGCACTGATATCAGAGATTATTCGAAAATAAACTAATGTGATCAATCATGATTAAAGTATAAAACACTATATGTATTACACTATATATATTGAGAGTAACCAGAATAATAACAAACTAAAATCACTTTCCGCGATTGTAGTTTTTTCATTCGTGCAGGCGACACTATCGTACGTTTCATTATGCGAATGACAAAATCATTAATATTTCTACTTTCACTTATTTGTTGACTTCAAAAATCGAGGTTCTTTACATTTAGACTCACTTTTCAATGCAAAAACTTGTTGTCCAAAATTCCAAAGTTATAGTTTTTTCTTGTAACGTCGAAAAATATTAACTGAAAAAGACGATGGATAAATAGTCCCTTAGTTCTCAGGGACTGCTACTCTCGTGTCTTTGTGCTCCGATTTTCTATACGGCGCGTTTGTTACTGATGAATAGTATGGGGACTGCGAATCAACAGGCAGGGTCTCGTATCCCCTCCACTTAGGGAGGATTTTTCTCCGAGCGTTTCTGTCCTTTGTGCCCTCATGACCGCGCCTCACATTCCCTTTAAAATCCCCTCATGATCCCAACAAATTAGCCATTTAAACGCGACCACGTGGGAAGACTGTCTTGTCGGCTTAAATTTTTCTATCACGACAGACTTACATTCTGTTATTCTTCATTTTCATGGTCTAGCACGAGATGACATATATAAATATTTGCAAGATAAACGTATATTTATACTTTTACGGGAACATTATTTGTATATGAAAAAAGACTAATGCACAGATGCTCGCGAAACAATAATCAATAAATGCGGTACAAAATTAAATCTTGCTAATAAATAATTTTATAATTATTTACTCGATTTACAGTATTATTTTATTGCAAAAGCACGTCGCGAAATAGCATAAAGAAACACTTATATGTACTAATATATTCATATATTTATTATCTTTTGGCCTTTCAATATTTTTCCCAATTTTTTTTTCTATATTATGCGAATTATATAAATGTTATCTTGTAGAAAATGTGAATATATGTGAAATGAAATTATAAGTAAGGCATTACTTGTACGCTATCATATTTGCTTTGCACTTTTAAATTATGTATTCTTCAAAAATTAATTTTTGGTTGTAACCTAATATTTTTTGTAACACTATGCTGTATCTTACATTATTAGGAAACTTGAATTAAAAAATGGTAAATGATTAAAACAACAGATGAACACACACACACACACACACAGATGTACGAGTGCGTGTATTGAGTAGAACAATTATAATATAAACAATTATATTCTATTCACACGCACTCGCACAATCATCTGCTGTTTTGCTCATTCTGTTGCTTTGGCCATTCTTTAGTTAGTTTTTTTAATTGTTTCATTATTCAACTTGCATATATTTTTTTTATTTTAATTTTGTTATTAAGAAAATTGTATATATAAATATGTATAATATTATAATATGAAAATAAGTAAAATTATTGGATTTTAGAATTTGATACTAATATTTTCAACTTTTGTAGAAAGACACGATAACTTTCTGTGCATGCTCTTATATGACACATTTTATCTTTATTTCCACCAATTGAGCCAATCATGTTAAAGCGAATTTCTCATTTGTTTGTCGACTAACATAAGTGTTAATCATATTCGTATTTCAAGAAGAATACGCATTTTTTTTATAAAGGATGTCTGTCACGGAAAAATAATATTTAAAGCGAAATAGATGTTTTAGATATGGAAATAATTATTATTTTCATACTACGCAAACATGAATTCTTTGAATTGATAATCTTGTGGCTGATTAATTCAGAAATGCAGTCTAAGGAGAGAGTTTTTGCGATCCTACCACAGATGATGAGAGATAAACAGTTGTCGGCCTCGTTACCATCGCGGTCTTACGTAATTGTGAATAAATTATTATCGCATGGTCGGACCGTATCAGTGCATCGAATGGAAATAATTCGATTTTATACTTTGTACGCACACTCTCTGTCGATATTTCCTCATCTATATTTAGAATTAATGTGATGAAGGAAGTTGTCTAACGATAAAATAGTTAATGAGGAAATTTATTTAATGGAAATGTGTGTAAATCACACTTGATTTCTTTATTTTATCACGTTATCATGATACACGTGTTTAAAGAATTATTGTTAGTTGTCAAGAATAATATATATGTTGCGGAAGAAGTATATACTATACTTTATACGATGAAAGATTATGTGTAATACATATATAATATTTCAAGCAAGAGATTTACTGTTAATCGAAAAATATAAACGAAAATTATTATGCGAATCGAGCATTTAAATCAAAATAATGCAATTCATCTAGACTTCTGATAAAATTGAAAGTATATGTATATATTATATCGAAGAATTTTTTCATTTACGATTGCTTATTCGACATTCTCACAACATTTCTAAATAATTACTTTTAATCACTTGCGGCCAAGACAATTCCTTGTTTTGATCTTTGATTCTTAATCTCGACTCTCTTTTCTTAAATTTTGCACGAAAATGAAACGCACTTTTGACGCCTAAAGGAATGTGTCTGCAGAATTTGTAACATGTGTCTCTTGCTCTTCTCTCTCCCTGTGTATCTCTCTTTTTCCTTTTCTCTCTTTCTTTTTCTCTTTTCGATATCAGCCGCCTTAGTTTCACATTCTCCTATATATCGTATGGGTCCCTATCCTTTTCTCTTTGTACTTTAAACACTTTCTGATATTTTGGTCCCCAACTGAAAATACTTTCCTTCTCGTTTTACCGGTTATTTCGAGGTCTGCCGGTTAGTAGGAGGAGAAAATGAACTAACAAACCGGTGCTGCGGTAACCTACGATCCGTTAACAACGCACGTTTGAGACTGTCGGTATACAATCCGGGCGAGAGAACGATCGTGCTCCCAGCGGGTTGCAAGCCTCTAAAGTGCCACCACCTCTCCCTGAATCCTTGTCGCGAGCTAGTCGTCCCTCAGTTATCGGCGTGCATTTGACGTCCTCGCGAATTTTATATCGTCGCTCCGTTGATTGATCCGGTAAATTCGATCCGGTAATGCCCACGAACGTTTACCTCATTAACGTAAGTCGGTCGAGCGCGTAATCGGTTGTCGGAATCAGTTCCGAAGAAGGAATCCAACTAATTGCCGCAATGCCGGCGCCTCACGAATTACAGTGACAATTATGCCGAGACACTGAAGCATGGAACCATTTGCGTAAGCATTAAAAAGATAAGGATAGAGGAGAACTCGTTAAAGATACAGTCTGCTCGAAAATGATGAAATCAGCCGCGATCATAATCTAGTCAATTTCCAATATCATCATATGTCATCATAATTTATGCTAATTTTGATAAATGCTTTACGAATTCGATATTCTAATACATTCTACAATAATGATATAGTATTTAGTATATACATATATTTCAAGCTGTCCTCGATCGTGAGACAGGTATCCATTAATTGCGAACGTTCGCAAACGTTTGCAAAAACTTGGTAAATTACGTAATTTTAGGTGAAGACGTTGAGCATGCATAAAAAAATGTTTGTAAAGAATATTCAATTGAATATTCGGCTGTTTACGAACATTTATCCAGAGGAAGTATGATACATTTAAAGAAAATATTCACAAGCGTTCGCGAACGTTTATAAATGTTTGTTAAAAATGCTTTTTTGGTAGAAACCCAGCTTTACTGCGACGATTTGAATGCAAAGTCTATTCTGGCATCATTTAGATTTAATAGAATCTTACATATTTTTTTGTAATTGTCATTGACTTTAATTTAATTTACGACTTACAGAAAAGAAGTTTAATTAGAGTAGAAAATAGTTATTTCTTTTTATATCATCTGTGTCTAATATTATGATTAACGAGTATTTGATTTGCTATTTGAAGCACTCAATACATTAAAACTATCTTTACAGGAAATTACAAACAAATATAAAAAAACATTATTTAAAATGAAATACTTTTCTTAACAACATGTATATTTTATGCAATGCATACTGACTTGTTATAATGTCAGTAAATATACGTAATACAAGCACGCGCAAAAAGTATTAATTAATGCATATCGAATGACGCATATTGATACGCGAAAAAAAGTAGCTACTTTGGACTGCTTGTTTATTTTAAATTGATTTGTATATTGCTCTTTTTTCACATCCATTTTTATGATAAGTGACAAATAAACGATATTAGTTATAAATTGATTATACACTTATAAAATATATTATTATCAACAATTCAATATATATTAAAATCAATTATTGATAATATATATTAAATAATATATATTATGAATAATTAAAATGCAATAACATATGTAGCTATTTTACGAGCGCTCTCTCAAAAAAATTTATAAGTTTTTGCAACCATAATAATGGCTTTGATTAATGATATTTCTTGCGACGGCCAAGGACACGTATCGTTCCACCTCGGTAATCGATGATTTTATTACGTCAATAATTTCACATGAAAATGGAAATTTCGTAAGCGCCCTCATGTTTACATCGCGAGGACCGTCACCTTTTCCCAATAGCGTGTTGCTGAAAGAAGCCATTATATTCCGGCAAGCACTACGTCAATCTATCCACTTATGCAGAAACATCTTCTTGTGTCATTATCATCAGGTATCAGCCGACCGCTTACGAAGCCCGTCAATGCTCGTGCATTTGCTGGTAATAACACTCGGTATTTCGTCATGCTCGTCTCGTACAGAAACGTGATATAAATGTACATCAAATACTGTAGATAATAATACGTCCAACTTTGATTAAAAACAGGCAATACAGCGCACTAGCGCTACCACGCGGGCTGAGTTGTTAGTATTTTTTTAGTAGAGGAGAACGCTTGTCTCGTATTTAAGTGGTTCGTGATTATATTAATGAAAGCTGATCGTTTGCATCGTGTGGAATCTGGAAATGTTAACGAAAGTACATCAAATGTTAAAACAAAATTAATATCAAATTGTAATATTAAGGAAAATATGTGTATATGTAACGATTGTTATAAAATATTTTTAGACAAATATTTTAACGTTTTATTAAAAGCCTATGTTAATAAAATTAATGATAGTAAAAAGAAAAGGTTAATTATGACATAAAATGTTAAATTAAAGAAAATATCTCACAATTATATACGTATTTTTATTTATCATTTACATTGTTACCCAGCCAGTAACACTCTATGAAGCAAGAGTTTATCACCTCAGATTAATAGATGGCGCTGTTTCAGTGGTTGCCTTGCAAGACAAAGGATTTTTCAAGAGTTGGACGTATTATTATCTACAGTATTTGTGTACATCGATTGACAAAGCCAATTACGAGATGCGATCTTGTATCTAAATAGAATGCTGAAGGTCTCTTTCTCGCTGGTATAATATGAGTGGTCACATGTAGCGCAAACAATAGCAATCATGCCACTATCGAGTATCAGTAAACTCACGCGTAAAAGACCATAAAAATATCTTTGACATTTTCGGAAATTGCCTTATCCATGGAGAATTGGTCGCAATTACGCGTAAATGTCTCGCCATTTATATATTTAAATGTTTCGATATCTAAAATATATCCGAGTATTGTATATAAATTTGATATATAAATAAAATTTATTTTAACGAAAAATTTTGACGAATTATAATTTTTTTTCTGAGTTATTGGAAATATATTAATAGAGAGAGCAGTATTATTTTTGATATAACGACATTTCTTCACGCGATATGGACCTGAATTCTGTCAGCGATGCAAAAATAATTTATCTATAATAATTGTCTTTATTGACGAATAGAGAATAAACACATATATATAATTACCAAAAATTTACAAAATATTATATCAATTAAATATTTAAAGTTTACAAAACAAGCAATATTACTGACTGGCATAATGATATATTTTTTCAATTTTCTTTATTGTTAACTGCAACTATATATTGTGATGTACAGATATATATGATAATGCTGCATCGAAAAAATTCAGTACAAGTAGCAATAAGAAACGAAGAAGATATTTATGCATATCCCTTACGGGCATAATTTATATACAATAAAAAAAAGGAGAAAAACATGTAATAAATCATAAACGACGATTCCTCTTGACACATAATCTTGATACTATTTGACGGTTGATGACCTGTAATATGCATGAAGTCTAATTATTTAAACGTGCAATTACTTAATAAAGCTGTCAAACGATACACAAAGTATGATTTAATTAGCGATACAAGAACACTCAAGAAACTTATATACTATATTAGAGGTCGGTAAATAAAATCGCTTACACAGGTGATACTCAAGAATCTATATGTCCCTAATATATCAATTCCTTTGATATATTTCGCTCTTCACATTCCGTCACTATATATATAATAATATTTGATACTATTTTTTTATTTATGTATGTCTTTAACGAGCTTTAAAAACTCATATCTTTTTTTTTCAAGACGCACAAATTTGTATTGGATAAAATTGTACGCTCTCTCTGTTATTTCACGAAGGAAACATAGTGTTGTTTTTTTTCTGTAATGATTCATTTCGCTAGTAACCGCACGAATGATGTGAATACTTAATCAATTATGCGCACGAACAGCTATCTTGCTTGAGTACACCACGTGTGTTTTCCACAAGTTCGGTCGGCTATTTCTCGTTAGACGGTTGACAAAAACGTTTTCTCGCCCACCATACAGCGGCTAGAGCGGCTGCCAAAAAACCTATACCGGCGACGATTCCCATGGAAATTGCCCTGTTGCGACGATAAGCAGGCACCTCCAAACCGATTCGTTCACTGGTTGCAACGTCGTCTGTAATGGACATCGCTGCCACTTCGAAAGTATAAAAGCTTTCCTCCTCCAAAGTTTTTACTAGGATAATTATTAATTAATTAATTATAGATTACAATTATTATTATTGTTATTAGTTGTTATTTCAAACACGGTAGTATGTATATAACTAATTTATTAATTAATAATTATTACATAAGAGAGAGTGGTTTTATATGACAAGTTGTTTACCTAGATAATAAGTATCGGTTGTTTCTGCTCTTCCATACAAATGCTCGGACGGTCCTCGAAACCATCTCACAGTATAAAGCCTAACTTGGTTTTTTCCGTATTCAGGTGGTTCCCAAGTAACCAAGTAACCCTCAACTGTCGCTTGAACTTTTACGTTAATAGGTGGTCCCATGATTTCTTCTGAAATGGTTATGATATATTTATAACTTTGAAATATTCGACACTGAGATGTAATCAAATCTATTCTCAAACTTTTTTTACTCACCTAGCGGACTGCGATATTCCGATGCCGAGTTCTCATTGATAGAACCTAGAAACGAATATTACGTTTTAATTTATTTTACATAAATCTGCTCGTTTAAATACGCCTGAGAGATGACAATCTTACTCTGCAGAAAGTTGATAAGCTTACTCGGCTGAGTGAATATTCGAAGCGCTTTACTAAACATTCCGTCACCGTGCTTATCCTGACTCAACACCATAAACTCATATTCTCGTCCTGGATAAAGATTGTTGACCGTCGCTTCCGTAATTTTTCTCGAGAGAATTTTCATGGTTCTCCATTCGGACGTGTCCGTTGGTCTGTACCTGCGCGCATACAAGACGCGTATGTATTTAACTGTACATTAATTATAAAAAATTTCTTGCTCCTTCCAGCGAGCGACGATTCAGAATTTAATATTTTATTGTTATTATCGAATAAACGAGATACTTTACCATACTGAATATTCCATCTTGGGTCTCACGTATCCAGGTACCCAAGTCAAAGTGACGGCATTTTTGCTACTGTTGGCGCTTAGATTGTACGGTGCTCTAGGCGGGACGTTCAATACCATTAATTCAGCATCCGCGATGACCGTTGCTGCCTCATTGCTAGCTGCGCATTGATATAATCCTCGATCGTGTTCCTGAATCCTTTCTATCGTGAGATTGCCACCAGTTATGATACTTCTCTCAGGCGATAAAGGCATTCCGTCCTTTCGTCGCAGAAAATTATTCGTTTTATTACAAAGCAGAATGTATGCAACATAACATTAATGTAATTAACAATTACGGCGTCGTACTTTGTACCACACGATAGTAGGTTGACGCGAATCGTCGCCGTCTTTGGCTTGACAAGGAATTTCCAAGACATCGCCAAGCTTTCGCATATATAAATGTTGTGGCGTAACTGTGAATATCGGCGGTCTTTGAACTATCTGTAATAATTAATAGTATATAAAGTATACTCGATATAACAAATATCGAGTGATATACAATCGGTATTTAGTTTTGAGAAGCTAGTGTGCTATCAAAAGGAAATATCTGATTTCGTTATAGAAATCTACCTCTGACCGAAATTTTTCTCTTTCTATTTTTCTTTTTTTTCGCGATCTGTATTGTTCTTTACAATATCTCGAGCAACGATGATAGATACTCACTACGGTGATCGAAGGACTGGGCCCTTCGGTGCCTAGTTCATTGTAGGGAGTGCAACTATAACTTCCCGAATGCGTCTCGTCCACTTTACTAAAATAGAGAGATCCGTTCCTCCTGTAGAAGACCCCTTGCACGTTGTAAGGATCAAAGAGGAATCCATCCTTTTCCCAACGAAGATTTGTGAGAGGCGGGTTTGCTCTGAAGTGGCAGTCTAAGAGGGCTGGTTTGCCGTACGGAAGATAGACCTCCCGGGGTGCGTAAATTACTTTCGCCTTATCTAGAAATTGGAAATATCAACTATCGATAAAGAGACGATGTGAAATAATTAAGCGATGTCACACTTGGCGGTCATTACGATGCTCACATTGAACGTTGAGAAAGGCCGAGGCACTTTGCTGATCTCCGTTTTCCCCGGTCACTACGCAGGTGTATTCCCCAAGGTCACCCATGGCAGCTGAAGTTATAGTCAACGTTCCGTTATCGACAGACATTCTTCTTCTGAGATCCTATTGCGATAATGAGTCCGGTAATTTTTTAGACGTTGAAATACATCTTAATGTATTAAAATATATCTTAAAAATTGATTGAATTTAATTTAATTATATATATATGAGTTTTAAAAATAAAAATTTTTATACCTGTATTTCCGTTATCGGTATCCCTTCACGAAACCACGTTACAATCGTACTTTCGCCCTTAGCGACACAGTCAAAGGTGACAGTCTCGCCTTCCATGGCAGTCTTATTGACAGGTGGTATCGTTAGTAGGGTATCGCCTGCAACAGGCGTCGGGAACGGCGACGCACCTAGGTTGAACGATTTAACGAGTCTGCTCAGCTTCAGGTTAGTAAGCAGCAGCCGGGTTACATAATATCTTTTCGTTCATTATTATGCTTTGTATCAGCGGGATTAACGGCATGAGACAATCAATTAACCACTTGCACTTTTAATTTTGCACTTTGGTAAACGCATTAAACAAATCCGTTAGTATCAAAATTAATTAAATTACATATAAATGCATGGTAGTTTTGCATAGTATGAATTATTATTTCAGAGCGATATTTTTGCAATATTATGCATGGGAATCATGTAATGTTTAGTTTAGGCTAAAACCTTGAATTAATTTTAGCACAGAAATAGTCGTTTTCCGCGATATATTAAATAAAACGATAAATAAGCTATTGTCCGAATATATGAGTGACTCAGTCTTCTCTCGTATCATGTCATAAAATTCTATGTACAAAAACTGAGAATCCTGAGCTGATTACTCATTACATGAATTTTTTTCTGATTGATACAATCGATAGATTTGACATTAGAGGATATGATAAAAATATAATTTTTTTTATTAAGCTTTATAATCCAAATCTTTTAAAATTAATTTAAGTTTTTATAAACAATTTAAATCTCCTTAAGGAACAACCGCGTAATTTTTAATAGTATTTCCTCGTAATATTTTATTAAAAATAATTTAAGGAGATATTTTATCTGAATATCGCTGCGTATAATAAACACAATGATACAAATGAGAAAAAGGAAGCGCAAGTGACCTTTTAATCAAGATGAACTGTTTCTCTCTGCCTCCTGGACTTTAAGAGAGTCAAGAATGTCGGAGGTGTTTAAATGAACGATTAAATTTGAAGACTCATATTTTACTTGTCAAAAAATTAGGGCACATATTTCACAGTTATAAGCTTGGTTAGCTTGCACATCGGACTAAATATAAGTCTTTTAGTCAGTGTTTGTTAATTGGCATCAAATTGCATTAACATGTTAGATTTGATTGCGTCGTTGATAGTATATTGGTAGATACTTACAATTAGTAATATTTGATAGATTGTTGTTGTGTTATTTGGTATTTACATGTTAAGGGATGTATTTTTGTATCCCGTAGAAAATTATATAATAATTAGTAATCATTGATATATACAAATATGTTAGTATATATATAAATTTTTCTGTTATTTAATTCCACTATTTACACGTTTTTTTTATCGTATGCAAATATAAATAATTGTAAATGATGAAAATTACCATAAATGGCGAGGTGGAACCACGTGCCATTGTTTCTAGAATTCGGCGTTCTATTAGGGAAGATCACCTTGCACTCGTACCAGCCCTGGTCGCTTTCACGAATATTTGTGAGGTTTATGCTACCCTGGCCGTGATGTCCGATATTGTCCAACAAGTGTATGCGACCTTTGTAAGCATTGTCCACCGTCACGTGTCCATCGTACCAGGAAAATACTGTACGTTTCTGTAGCATTATAGAATAATATTATTAAGATCTCTTTGGGATACATATTTTTGATAAATTATACAAAAATTAGTTCTCTCTTCTCAGTTCTGTAAGAGTCGTATATTTTATGAGAAATAACATTATTTTGCTCCTGAAGTTTTTTCTTTTTTTGTTTAAAGAATATTTCTTTTCGAATGACCGATTTCTAAATATAATCGTAGACGAACCTTGAAGGAATTACAATCGCGTAATCTGATCGTAGCTGCTACGATGATCATTAATTGGATCATCCTTTCGCGGAATACAAGACTCACGCAACTCAACGAAAAAGTATAATGTGTATTAAACTCAAGTTGTATTTACGCAAGGTCTCACGTTAATGAAGTACGCAGTTTAATGAATAAGGATTCATCATGTTATTTTCAGCAATTCTCAATTAGTCTATCGGTCAGTCGAATTTTCTCATATTCGTCGACAATCCAAAAAAAATCTACGGAATAAGGATACGTCTGAAGGAGAGGAGCGAGAATGGCGCTAATCGGTTCTAATCGTCTGACAATGCATTAACAGTGACCCACTAGTTGGACCCCTCCGTTGTAGACTGAACGTGACTAAATATAATGCAGCCTTGCGTCCCGTACTCCAATTACCACGACGGACAGACGAAGAGGGAAGAAGCACCTGTTTTACATACGCATCAGGGACCAATCAGGTTAAGTTCCACTTGATTTTATGCGATGGCCACGTGCAATCTGTTTCCGTCGTACGTGGCTCATACGATGCGACATCCGGACCTTCCATTCGGGCAAATTCGTCTAGCGATTATTGTTTGTCGTTTTATGAAAATCGATGCTAGGAAGAATTTTTTTCAAGATTATATAAATTATACCAAGCGACTGCTACTTTTTTATTTTCTTTTATCAATTTAAGCACGTCGTTTTTTAGCTCATAAATAAAATGATTTTATAAAAATACTTTCCTATCTTTTCTCGTATATCATAAGATATTCATTGTTACGCTCTCTCGCGTATTATATATCTACTTGAAATCGAGAAGAGAGGAATGGAAATCTATATCCAGATAGATTGTCACATCAATGGAATCAGATATAATTTCGAAGAAATTGAATAACCTACCCTACCTTGAACGCTTTTTCTACGCGTCTCTGCCGGAAGGCGACGAGTACGTCCGTATGTAAATTAACCGAATAACAGCCAGCCTTAACGCTCTTTAATCGTCAATCAGTCAATCGCACGTCGTCGTGTTACCATTGTTACGTGCGGTATGTTATTAAACGCGTACGTCGTTAAAATGAATCCCTTTACTTTAACCTCAATTTTAGATTGAATAAAATAAATGTTCCTCACATATATTTTTCATTACTGCGTTTCATTTTCGAAAAAAAAAAAGAATATGTATAATACTTCTATATCTCAAATTTTTGACGTATCTTAATAAATGTATATGTATCTTAATAATGTATGTATGTTTAAATGTATCTTATGTTTCCAGATATTAATAAAATTAATTTTTCCAAGTCAATACACTGAGAAAAAAAAGTTGTTAACTTGACTAAATGCGTTCAACTAATTATTATTTCTTTAATTGAAATTATTAAGTATTTAAATTAAATACGACATATTAAATCTAACATGATGTATTTTACTTAAGTACTTAAATATTTCAATTAAAAAAATGATAATCAGTTGAACGCATTTAGTCAAGTTAACAACTTTTTTTTCTCAGTGTAGTATCGCAAAATTAATGTGTCGCATTAGAAATTAATATCACATTAATTTATGTATCTACACTATAATTACTTTAATAAACGCTTATATAACAACTATTTGTTTGATCCAAGGTAATATTGTCATTAATCGGCGTATTATTTTGATTACGCAACGTGTAATACTGTTTTTTGCGTTACTATATCCTGTTTTGTAATGGCATTTATTTTAATATATATCATTTTTATTAGATTATGTATTAGCACTAAAGTTTTATTGATGCTATGTCAATGATATAAGAAGAGTCATTGGTAGTTTAAAATATGCAAAATATTTTTCTCATGAATCTGCATCTCGTAATCGGTAAAAAGATTACGAGTTTGTTATTATACTTACGTGGCGGTTCCATTGAAGCACATACGGAATCGGCGTATCGTGTGGAAAGTCAAGATCGCAATTAAATACCGCGTACTCTCCTACCCCGGCATTAAGATAAGTCGGTTCCTTATCCTCTTCTAGGACTAAGCTGTAGCTGCAGGCTGAAAAACCGGCGATTAAAAAAAATTTCTTATCTCGATTACTATGACCAATTTTTATTTATCTGCGTATTTCGGCGACGGAATATCATGGATAAATGCCTGAGAGAAAACGTCGCGTGTAAAGTGATATTACGCATTGGGACTAATTTCCGGAGATTGCGTAATTTTCCGCCGGATTATGCGTGACAATCGAGCGCGTTAACAGAATGATACACGTTGTTGTTATCTTCGCATAAACAGTCAACGATGTACAAGAGTCAACGATGACTGTGCGCGATTATTCGGATAAACAAAATGCTTATTTAAACACTTTTGGGCGGTGGTCGCGAATTTAATTCGCCTTTGCATGGCACTAAACGCTAATCAGCGAATTGTGCCATTTATTGTGATTATAATGTTGGTTTTACGTCTACTTGTTACACCACACTCCGTTCTCAAGCAACTAAAATTGCCTTTTCCTCTAGAAATGTCTCGTGTAACGCAATTTTAGATAAACGATATGATAAGAAATATATGATATTCTTGATTAAATATATGTTAAATATATTCTCTTATATTGTATTTTTCGAAGCTCTTACCTTCGTAGCAGAGTAAGACTGCCAGCAGCTTGTAGACTTTAGCGGCTTGGTTCATCCTTGCGTGTTTCGATCCTATATCTCACGTTTTCACTTATATCGCGTCAACACAACGGTATCGTGAGGACGCGTTGGCAGAAACGACGATAGGTTACACTCCGCAACAACGACCGACACATCTGTCATCACCCGCACTCATCGAACATCGGGCCACCACCTTTGGGCTCAATTCTTAGCACACGTCACTCTCACGCCATAGATGTGTGTCTTGACTATTTTCGAACTCTTTCGTTTTTCTCTTTTCAAATCGGCTCCAAAACTTGAATCTTTCCTCTAAACTCTACACACCTTCTTTTATCTCGGTACCCAACGATTTTCTCCGAACGTTGATTTTACTATTCAAACAATGTTGGGTTGTAATTGATCACCACCTTGTTCGGGTTCAGAGCTTTGTTGAGGATACCGGTGTCACATCGTCGAGGTCGTTAACTCTGGAAAACGCGTCGGAGAAGCACCAGGTATTCTGTGCGCCGGTGTCGTTCACTGGAACGACGCACAGTTTGATCCGAGACGAGATTGGAGTCATCCACCATGGAGTGCTCCGGAGGCAACACTAAATCGCGTAATCGCGTCGTGCTCTCGCTCAATCCAAGCGGATACGAAGAGCTAGGAGTAATGAGTAGCGGGAGGGGGCTGCGAGGGTGGATGGACCGGTGATGTGCGCGGGAGGAATATATACGAGGGATTCATCACGATTCTACGTTTACGGGCACGGTGTGCGCGCTCTCGTTTGCGTCGTATGCGAACTTCGGCACACCCATGATGACACGAATGAATGACGTTGTACAAAAAAAAAAAAAAAAACGAAACCATTTTCTCGAACGAGCGCATCGTTCGATATAGAGGCAGTAACGTTGTAATTAGCGTTGTCGTAGGTTGAGGAATTTGATGGAAAACACTTATTGTTAGCATCTTATAATTTACCTTTATAAGAATGTATGTTTTACAGAAATTCTATCCAAAATTTTATTCATTGAATTTGATGGGGCAATAATTACAACGATAAATTCTTCATTTCTAATAAATGTTTTCAAATAATGTTTGAAATTCAAATATTTTTTAAATATTTATTTGACTCAATAATGCGATTGTCGAAAATAATATAATAAATATAATTAAGTTACAGTAACATTTATTCTGTATAGAACCTTTTAGGATGTACGATCTTTGATGTCGTTGTTGAAGCGTGTGGAAAGTCATGTTCTCACAACGAGAACGGAAGAATTAACCTGTATTCACAATTTATCTTTGGTCGCTGACTCGCGCTCTTTCATTGCTGTTCCTTCTTGGTCAAAGCATTCAAGAGAATTGAGCCTCACGTGCAACGCAAGTGGAGATTAAAAGTTCACTACACTCGGTTGCATATACAATTCTTTGATCTCTTTTAACGACTAGGTTGCGATGTACATATGTAAGTCGTACTTCGTATTGAAAGGTATAATTATTTATTAAAAAATAGAAAACGAAAGATATTATAGGCTTATAGATATTACAGACTTCTTGGCTGAACATATCAATTTTATGTAAATTAATAATAATGTGTGAAAAATAAATTGTAATATTTAAATAAAAAATGTTTAAACATAAGAAAAATAAGAGAGAAAGAATATTTGAATTTATACGATACATATCAGAGAAAGATTCTTGAACCTTTTTATTTATACATCGCGTAATTGTCATTTATGGAGCTCTTTTAGCTAAGACGCTGCTTTCCGGTTACGATATGTTTACTCTACATTCGTGAAATTGACAATTTTCCTTTTTGTCGACGCGTTATCATTTGAGAAAGTAAACTATATTTATTTATGATTAATATTTTTCAATCGTAAAGACGATAAGAATATAAAGAATTTTGAAATAGTAAGCATAGTTTTTTCTTTACTTTTAATACATAGAATTTGAACTGAGCTGTTATACTCGTACATGCAATATTTGTACGAATAGTTGTCAAAGATTTATTTCGCAATATATTGCGATTTATAGAGGTGGTTGCAAAATGCTCTCGTAAAAATATAGCTTAAACGAAATGACAAATGTCAAAACGGCCAAATACTTTCTGCGCACGAGAGATCATCGATTTCCGATGAGGTTCCTGCACCGGAGTCGCACGACGAAACTGCATCGGAGCAGTCGCGCGCGCGTGGGTGACCTCAGATTACGTCACATCCGTCTCTTGCCGCATTATCAGACTGCCCACAGCCTTGTCATGCTGTTGAGATAATGGATCCATTCGCATGGATCACTATCCAGGATTGGACGTGCCCGGGACACTGGAAATAAATGCGTGCATAATGATAGCAACCATATTATTTCATCGTCGACGAGCAGAAGAGGGAACGGCTCGTTCGTGGTTTACCTGTCCTGTCCGCGGTTTGAGAGAATCGATCGTCTGTCATTGCAAAATACTTCTTTCACTGATCGCTAATGAGGATAATTTATTTAAATGTGTCATCAGTATCTCGTATCGTACGATCTCTTGGTCACAGATCGTTGTCGCTTCTATATTCAATTGAGACAAATTCATATTTATACAAGTATCGCATTGTACATTGGAAAGTAAAACTCATAATTTATCGATTTTCATATGGCAATTAAATAATTTTTATTGTTGTGCGGAGCGATACTCTTGATGTAACAATATATTATTTAATGTGGAAATATAATTCTCGTAGAAAAGGAGATTATTACTCTTCGGAGAACCATAACGCACTTTGAAATTATAGAGGGATGATTTTTTAGTGGGTGCGTGTCCTATACAGCCCCGCCGAATGGCCAGCGGGGTGATGTATAACGCATCCCCTTGCTCCCTTTGCAAAAAGAAAGTCTACAGTAGATATATGATGTAAGATGATTTACGAGTATATTTTCGATGGAAGTAATCGAACTGTTGTCAGAGATTATTCTAGTACTTTATCACAAAAATACAATATATGATTTCTCTTGCGAGGGAAACATCATATTGAGTAGATATAGGAAGCAGCGGAAGAGAATAATTTATCTCTGCAATATACTCTTTCCTACGAAACGCGATTTATGATACTTTTTAAAAATTTGAATTTGTACACCGTATGAAAATGATATTTGTACAAACGCATCAATAAGCACAGGGAATCTTTTTGATAAAATATGTTTTGCAATGGAATATCGCGCTCTAGTTTTTGGTACAACATAGCGAGACGTATGTCGCGCAGAATAATGGAAATGACGGCAATTTCCAGTAATCAGTGTCGTAGACGCCTTGCGTAAATGCAACTTCTTGTGGCAGTTAACATCTATATAGTTTCTCGAGGAAATTACAGTCGCGTCGTGATTTTACGATTTTACCTATCAGGCGTTAAAATCTATTCTCGCATAAAGACCGTTTTCATGTTTTGTACAGATTCTTTTTTCAATTATCTTACGGACATTTTAATTATTTGATATCATCTCTTATACATTGATCTAACTATGTCATGTCAAGTAATGATGTACAATAGTTTATTTCAACTTAATGGTAGATCGCGATATAATTATACTTAATATTTAATATTCATCAATGTAATATTGTCCATACATACCTGTAATGCAATAGCATTTTTATAAAAGGCAATTGCGAACGAATGAGTTGTTTTGTGAAATGTATATTTTTATATTAATATAACAAATATCTTTTTTCTTTTTTTTCTATTTTTATAATGTGATATAAAAATATTGAGTTGAATATTTTGTTAATAATGATTGATGATATTATTTCTTAAACTATTTGTATCATAATTTGATAAGTTTTATCATGCGCTCTTATTAAATTTTTGGAAATATATATTCAGAAATATTTAAAAATAAAATATTTATTGTTATCGAAACATATGTTTGACGGGGTATATTAATCAATGCAATGCAAATGTGCTGGAAACGTTGCTTGTTTCGTTTCAAATGTCGATTTATTTTTTATTTTATTTAATAATAAATTGTCTACAATTTGTTCTAAGTTAGTACGTCTTGGAGTTCTCGTGGGGGGTTCGCGAGAAAGCATAGATCATTCAATTAAAATGGGTATAGGGAGGTGAACAACGAGCATTTACAAAAAGTGACAACGAAACGATTTAACGCACCGTGTACAAGTTTGACGGCGGATATAGTCGAGATATAAGCGGAAGTGAGGATAGACGGTACAGAAGAACGTTACATGTGTGTATAGAAGCAATTCGATGTAGGGCGTGAGAAGGCTAACGATTACAAGTGTGGAAGTATATTCTGAAACGACTCAACGAGAAATAAAAATATGTAATAGAAAGAATATATAGGAGAATAAAAAAAAAATAAAAAAAAAATCTTTGCTCTCTCTATCTTTTTCTTCTCGAATTCAATTCGGCGCAACAAATATTATTACGGTATTAGCGATATTGCCAATGTACGATGATGCGCAAGCGCTCGAAATGCCGTGCTTGGAGCTGCGACGATCTTGGAATTTTGCGAGAGAGCGCACTTAAATCGCGAAAAAAAAAAATATCCGACAATATTACATCGCAAGAAAATATTATATTATCTCATAAGATTCTTAAATAAAAGAGTCGAAGCGTATGGATAATCGCAGATCCAAGCGAAACGCAGTACCCGAGAGCCATTGGTTGGATTTGACATGAACGTGCGTTTCGCGTCGACCGACGGACGTGATTTTATTCGACCGATATGGTATTATGGTAATTGGTAATGTACGACACTGGCGTATTTCACGTCAAATTATCATGTCTTATATGTCATTCGACGCATACCTCGAAGCAGTATCGTCGCTATACTTTTTTGCAATTTAAATGTGTCATCAAAAACGCTGAATATTTATTATTGCGAATGCGCTATTATAATATTTTCAAGGTTTTAAGTATTTTCAAGGTTTTATTAGCGATCGTGATTTAAACATGAGTGATCGCGAGAGAGATCTACAAACTACTAATTTTTTATGTACTTATCTCTAATACAACGTTGCAAGTTATCGCCATCTGTCAAATGTTCGCTTTTCGCATATTAATAATAACTGCGCGATTGTATTATGCGGGATGGCATATTTATAACTATCTACAGAATTTCTACACGAACCCATTAATAAGCGAAATAAGCACACGTTTCGGCTGCGAGTGGAAGCTGCACGATTCGCGATGCCAAAATCTCCCGCGAACGTTCTGCTTCGAGGGGTCGCGAATTTCGCTCACGATTTTGAACAATGGATCATGCCGTCGACTGGCTTTCAGGTACATAACGAACGAAACATTTGAATTAATTAATCCACGGATCACGACGACGTTTCGCTCGCAATCTCGCGCGAGTTACACGCGTGTGTTGGTGATAGCGCGGCGAGGATACGACGACGAGTATCGCGAACGCAAACGGGCGCGATGACGACAAACGTAAATCTACACGAAACGGTCGTGAAAAAGGAATTTGGAACGAACGAAACTATTGTGACGGATGATGACGAAGTTCTTTTCTTTTTACACGAACGTATTCACGATTCAACCATATTATCCATAAACACGCCGTCAAGCGGAACTGCCGTATTTTACCCTAATCTTTCTTTCGCAAAACCACGGTACACTTTCATGGTTTCTCTAGAATTATTTCTCCGTCATCGGACATGTTTCGAACATATTCGTCTTATCGTACGAGTCATTTTTTCCCGCCATGTGATAGGCTCGAGGATAACGCGGAGGATCCCAAGTTTCTCCCTATATCTGTCTCGCTTTTCTTATATTCTTTTTTTCAGTTACTTTTTCTCGTTTACTTTCATTTTCTCCGATGTCTTTCATTCATTCGCACATTTATCGCAATCGTCCACACAGCGTGACCTTTTGAGATCGTTGTATCCAACTATGATATATCTACACGTTACTTATACATCTATATATCGGTTGGATTTTCTCTCGCATACACGATTCTTCCTTTTGTTGCATCCATTCATTCGTTGAAGGGGGAGAGGGTGTATCTTTCGTGTACGATTACAAAGCGTTTTATTTTATCACCACTTTACCGAAAGCGTTTCCTCAGTGTCCACGATGCGCGCGGACGTATTGATCTGAGAAAAATTTATTTATTCCCTTACACATCTTTTAGCATTACATGCATCTCACGCGCCCGATACGTTTATCGCTAATAACGTATTTCGACGATCTTTTGCGATTTAAAGCGCGATGATGTGAGATCCTTCAGTGTACCACCTCCCCCGCTTTATCGTAATATTTCCCGCGCGGATATAATAATTAATAAATACTCGCCGTGTTCGTCGCTCTCGTTGATTAATACGCTACACGCTACATCGTTTACGATTTACAATATCAATTAATTATCAAATTATTAATTCAACCATTAGAATTACTTTAGAATATTGGTACTCTTTCGCGTCACCTCCGTTATTTCGTAACTTTTTATCATATTCTTTTTTTTTTTTATTCTTTTGTTATATCTCTGCGTGACCGTGTGTATGTTACATTATGCTTTGTCTTGTTTCAACAACCGCATTTGCTCGCGTTCTAACCCACTGTCGCTCGCATTCCGTTCACTCAGCCTCATCATTCTGCAACATTCATCTTCTCTCTCACGCACGCACGCACGCACGCACGCATACATATATGCGTATTTTAACGAAATTGTACAGAGCGTCCCGCCTCGACGTGGCATTCACGTGGCCACTCTTTCTTACTCATCTTCTTTTTCCTTTCGCTATTACGGTTCGTCGAAGTATAGTTGAATCGTGAGAGTGTAGGGCCCTTGCTAATATTTATAATAAATATGTATAATATGCGTACGTATATAAATAAGTGTTTGTACTATAAAGAAAGTAAAACGTCTGGGGTCGCGGGCCGGGCCGATCGCGATTCCACGTGGGGAGCTTTCACGGTCGCCCGTATATAGAGAGAGTTTAGAAAAAAAGGCGGTCCCTCCTCATCGTGTGGACGTGTCCGCAAACACGTGGGACACGTTCTCGCGTTAGGTCGCGCAGCTCGACATTGATTAGCCCGTAGATTCGCCCGAAAACCCCCTCGATCGGCGATCACCGGCCCCCGATTTCACGAGACTCGAGATGATCTGATGCGTTTGGTGAGAATTAGGTGGGTCTCGAAGAACGCCTCTCTCGTATTTTGTGTGTGTATGTGTATATGTATATATGTATGTATGTATGAGTGTGTATTGGCACGTATAAGTGCAATATATTTATATGTTGCTGTCATGTTTGTGTGGGTGAGTGAGTGTACATTTGCGTATGTTTTATATAACTCCTTTTTCTCTCTCTAATACACACACGAAATCCGGCGTGATCGGCGCGTGTGTGTGCACGCGCACGCCCCTTCCGGCTGACGATGATCGCGTGTCTCTCTATCGGTCGCTCTTCTCCGCTTAAATATTTTAATTTTACTTATTTATATTCAACGTCAACGCTTCGCACGCGAAATGAATCGAACGCACGGTCGGATCTTCTTTATTGGCAGTTTATTGAGAGAAAGATTTTTTTTTTTTTTTTTCGTATATTATTTTCTTTAGTATTTTTTTTCCTTTGAGTCCGATCGAGACGTCGTTCATCGAACGTGTTCGCATCGCTAATCTAATCGAAAAGATCGACCGATAGACTCCGGAATG